TTTCAATTTTTTTTCCTTGTCATTTTCCGGCTACTAATTCTCATTTGCATTTAGAAAAAGCCTTAAGGTTTCATGATCTTAGCTGCAATGTTTGCTCCGTGGCGATCCTAGAAATCTGTGCGTAAAAACAAGGATCCAATTACTGGCAACTCATTAATTATAATGCTAATGTAAGGATAGATTGTAGAGACGCATGTCGCAAGCTATTTTTGTTTCACATTAGTGACATCCAGTGCTTAGCCTCCTGCTCAGGAATTCGACGAAAATGTTTTCGAAGTTTAGGTAGAAAAGGCATCGCATGCCCCTGACAAAAGCAGGTGGAGGCAACATTTTTTCAAATTCATGTTGCGATGTAATATTTGCGTTCGACGAAGGAGAACGCATACTAATCGTCTCGTTTTTACGGAAATCACTTTCGAGGGTTTTAGGGACCAGTCCCAAGGGGATCGATCGTGATGCCCTGCGATTTCAGCCACAGGCATTCAAGTGCAAATGTTTTCTATTGTTTGCGCTATTGTTTTCTTCTAACAAAGGACTGTATGCATAATGAAGTATGGGGCTGTGCGGAAACTTTGCCAAATGGGGCCTAATTCAATAAGCCATTTTACAGTTGTGTACTTAGTTGCCAAGCCTTTGATTTGGAGTGAGGCTGAAGGTGACCTTGTTGTGATAGAGACCAATATATCTAGTTAGCATGATAACAAAGTAATTTGCATTTGAAAAGCAGCAAGGTTTGTATCATAACAAGGTCACCCTTAGCCTCATTCCTGTTCAAGGGCTTGGCAACCAAGCACATAACTGTAAAATGGACTATTTATCGAAGCATAAAAACGAAATCGTCCAAAGTCACGATATTGGCAACATAGTTTGGATTAGTAAAGCTCTTAAGTCACATTTGGTAATATTTAATACTAAGACAGCGGATAGCGTCGAAGGCGCGCCCTAATTGGCTACTTAAACTCTGAATATTCGTTTCTTTTCGCATCCGAGCAACTGATCCGGGAATGTTGTAATCGTTCCAGGAATAAATGAGTTAAACGGTCATATATTTGTACTACAATATTCCATTACTTTAGGTGGGCGCTTCGCGGCTCGGTGAATATTCACCACCAGCTACCTTCACTTCGGTGAATATTTGTTAACTGTCACTGATTGAAAACTTATTTTTTCAACAGGATGTTCTGCAAATCACGTTGCTCGCCTTCCTGTGATGAACAGAATTTATCAAGAGAAAGAAAATAGATAGACAATAACATAATCTGTTCAACTGACTGAAAGCACCGTTGTCATTTATGATAGACTTTTCAGAATAGCAACGAGTTTTAGCTAGCAGAGCTATCTGCTATCTAACAAGATTGATGTCCTATGTAACGAAGAAGATTGCAACTTTAAATGACTACTGATTGTTATAAGGATTTTGATGTGACCGATGTCTTCCGTCACAAGTGCTTTGTACCTTTTCAATTCTTGATAAAATTTTTCTTTGTGTTGTATCCTGTGTGTGTGTTTTAACTGGACTGTATTTTAACAGCACATTTGTGAAAAACCAAGGTATTTTTCCGAATAAACCAGTCTAATGAAAGTTGTAAGCCATTGCTGAGGTTTCATTGTTTCTTGCTGCTGACGATAATGATAACGGTAACAGTTTGCGACGTGGACGGATTCGTGCTATTGCAAGGATATCTCTCATAAGACTTCTAAGAGATTCGCACCTTTGTTCAGAACATTTGGAGTACCATTGCTTCCATGAATCACACGTTAAGGAAGCACGGATAGCTTTGTTTACAGGAGAATGACTGTATACGCATTTGATGACAGATAGACTAAGAGGCCCAGCAACCATGACACGTCATTAACCCTCAGTGCCTTGCGTACCTAGCAAGGTGGCGGAAGTGGGAAGTTCGAACTTACCGTGAGGGCCGGTTTTGATGGCAAAAATTAACAAGGTTAGAGCCTGAACAATATTAAGTGCCGCTCACGCTAAGAGCGGTCCTCTCGACTTCCCGTCGGAAAAAAGTTTATTTTATTTTTTGCCCATGAAAAGGGTTCAGGACACGTTTCAAAAATAGATTAGTTATTCTCCAATTCTCTTTTTAGTCGAAAAAAAAAAAAAAAAAGATTTTTGGCCAGACCACCCCTATGGACAGCGATCGAAAGTGTAAATTTCAAAGATTTTGTCCAGCGCGCAGCGACTCCAACAATGTAGCTCACGGAATTCTATCTAGACCCCCTAGATTTGACCCCCCGGTCGAAATCCTCCAGCGGATATGGACCCCGCCCGGTCCAAATCCGCTCGTAGATTTGGACCCCCCTCCGCGGATTAGGACCCCCAACAAAACTGAGTGAAAACATCAAGACTACCCCGGAGAGCGAGTGGCTCTGCATTGTCTGCAGATTGCCAGACTCTAGACGTCTTTGTAATTGTTAAGGTGCTATTTCGGATCCCTCAACAGTTAATAATCGTTAAAATTAGAAAATAATATTGAGTTCGATGTAATAGTCTCCTCCGGAGCAGTCTTAAATCCCTCGCAGCTCATGTGTAACCATTCCTCGCACAACTCGCACTGTACCATGTCGTCCCAACACTCGGGCATCGAACAATGACAAAATAAATTAGTGTCACAAGTTTGTCTCCTATTGAATCTAGCGGTGTTCGACTAGCGCGGAAAAAGTTCAAAAACGACCTCTCTCCAGACATTAAACTAAATTCTTGCCCATTTTCCCTTGGTCAAAAGAAACATCCGACGTGATGCCAGTTCGTATGCATTAACGATACACATGTTTTGAATCAAAAACATACTTTAGTACGCACTGGAACGTAAAGTACCATCCATTTTTACTAGAACGTTAAGGATGATGTTTTCACTCAGTTTTGTTGGGGATCCTAATCCGAGGAGGGGGGTCCAAATCTAGGACGGTCCGAATCCGCTGGGACACCCCGACATTCCAGAAGAGAAATCAGGGATGAAATACCCAAAGCCACTCCAATCTTTGCTTTCCATGAATCAAGTATACCTTTTTAAAAGTTAAAATTATCATTAAAATGTAATTCAGTCCATTTTAATAACCTTCGATTTTTATTCGTTACTTTAGAACCTGCGAAACAGGTCCTACGACAAAGAGAAAAGTTTGCACAATCACGTCACGCAATATATCAAGCTGGGTTTGTCCAATTGATTTTGATGGTCGCAGGGAAATGTTGAGTTTGTCGCTCAAAACCGTTGTGGTCCATAAGAGCGTAACATCATTAATGACGGAAACAAATTTGCAGAAAGGAGGGTTAGTTACTAAATCTCAGGAGAAACTGCAAGAATTATTTCAGAGTGTATGCGTGTTGTTTTGTAAATATAAACACTGTAACCTATTTTAACTTGCTTTTGTGTCCTTTTAAGCAACGCAATATGTCTGTTATGACCAGAGTGCCAAATTTTATTCTTTAATTTTGATCTCCTCCACACTGTGCGTAGTTTATGACCTGATATTTCAACGTAAATTAGCGGAGAAGGCGCCTTCCAATCACCTTTGTCTACTTTTTTAAGTCACGCAAGCGCGCAAGCTATGCGTGTTATTCTTGGCAGGATGATTCCCTTGTGGCATAGACCGTGGAACAATCGAGAGCGAACAACATTGAATTGGCCACCGTAAGGAGTTAAAGCGCTGACGTTTCGAGCGTTAGCCATTGGCCAATCGCTCTGTCGAAGGGCTAACGCTCGAAACGTCAGCTTTCAAACTCTTTACGGTGGCCAATCTACGTTATCAACTCAGTTGATAATACGAAATTATCTCGATAATTCAATGTTGTTCGCTCTCGACTGTTCCACGGTCTATGCCACAAGGGAATCATCCTGCCAAGAATAACAGGCATAGTGGTAAAAAAAGCACTTTTAACTTTTCTTGTTGCTGACCAGATGTAAAACAATGAGTTCTCAACTACCTTCAACTATTTGCTGTTACTAGTCTCCAGCTCGTGGAGCTTGCTGGTCTCCACAAGGATGTCACACAACGCTCGCCAAAGCTTAGCGTAACATTTCAAAGAACATTTAAAAGGGAGAATATCATGCAGCTGGCCTTAAAATAAGCATTTAAGAAGTTTTTGGTATTCTCTTAGGCATTAAAATGCCTGCATCATCAGATCTTGGAGCCATTCCGTCAGTTAGGCAAGTTTCTCAAGATGCAAGAAAGTTCTCTCCAAACTTTTCAGTCTTGTACATATATTTACGAACTCAGAAAGGGTCCAATATTAGGCCAAATTGTCTAGGATGCATCAACTTTGATGCAGTTCCTTTATTTAAGCAGAATTCCTGCCTCTATTCTGACGACCAGCGCGAGAAAAACCCCCTCAATAAACACCATCTGATACCACAAATTTTCCTTTATTTTTCTTCTCACTTTGAATGACTTTAATTGCTTGTGAACAGGGTATCAATGGCAAATGGTAGAACCCCTGGAAGCAGCGAGAGACGAGCCTCAGAGGGACCTGGCCCTAAACGTGACATAGCTTGTGTCCAGCAGCTTGGCCAGTCACGTCACAGCACAAGTGAGAGCCCCTTGGCAGGGTACCTCTATCTTGGCCTATTCAGTGTCCTTCTCCTTTGATGTTTCCGATGTAAATCATTCGCGTGCTCGTGACCAGGCTAATTTTATTTTGGTGCCCTTATCTACGATACATGGAGGTGAAGAGTGATGTCTGCGTGGTTCCGTTCTAATTCTGGTTACGAGATATAACACCAGATAATTTCCGGAAACCGCCCAAGTGTATTTCGTTACGTTCGCAGTTTTGCTCTTGACCCCATTCCCTCTTGATTAAAACGTCTTTCTTTACCCTCATCTGAAATGCGGCTTTGTGTCTTACGGCTTTGACAAGAAGCTAGTTTAAGGACTGACTTCACCGTACATAGGGGTTTGGCATACAATCCTTTGCTGGCGAGTTAGAGAGTAGTTAACGAAGCCGAACCGTCTCGAAATTTTACGTGCTTATTACAGCAAACTGTGGCGAGACAATGGGCGATCTAATTCCGATGAAACCCCTGAGACATCAAGCTTCTTACGAGAATGTTGACATAAAAAGCGGTGTAGTCATTTTGCCAGACGACCCTGATCACCATTACGATGTACTTCATCAAAACCACAAGCCGATAGCGGGGCCTTCGACTTCGTTCATGACGAGTGCGCCCACTAACAACGACAGGCCGAGGGAGACAGCGAACGAATCCAGGAACCCACCTTCGACTTCTCTTTTCACGAATGGATCCACCACCAACAACAGGCCGAGGAACACTTCGAACGAAGCAAGGAACTCAGCGAACGAGTCCGTCGATTGCACCTCTTCGGAGAGCCACAAGAAAAATCATTCGACGTCAGCAGAGATACATAGAGTCCTTGTAGTGTTTGAATTTGTGTTCGCTTTGATTGCTTTTGTTCTTGTCTTGCTCTTTGCCCTTGGAATGCTGAGCTCTTCAAATTGTCGCCAGAGTTGCCATAAAGAACTTGTACAACCAGTTCAGACTTCGCGAGCAACGCAGGAATTTTTCCTTATAATGAACGAGCTACGGGCAAACATGAGCAATTTAGATGAGGAAATAAAAAGCAGGGATGACATAATCACACAACTTCAAGCGCATGAGGTCGACTTCACAAGAAGGATCACAGAATTGGAACGAAATGAAACTTTTAAACTCGTGGTTGTTAACAAATCGAAAATCATTGGACCGCAAGGCCCCCAAGGATTCGCTGGGGCTGTTGGCCCAAAAGGAAAAGATGGAAAAGATGGAAAAGACGGAAAACCGGGAGAAAAAGGCCCAGCCAACGTGTCATTGTGTCACTATTCAACCATCGAAAGTACCCCATTTACAGCTTCTGGATCCGGTGAAGGGCAAAACGTCAGTGTCACAGAAGAACCAGGGTCTAAAATCATTGGAGCTACGTGCTCGACCGAAGGAGCGTCAGAATATAATTTTATAACCAGAGTTAACTCTACGACTAAAGTTCGAGAGCTCGCATGTGAATGCAAAGGAAAGTCAAGTGTGTTTACAGCGGGAGTGGATGGAGCCAAATGTATCTTGAATTACTGGGTGTGCGCTTAGAAACTATAATATTATATCTCAGAAGAAATGAAGGGTTTTTTTAGCTAAAATAGAAATGGTATAAATACCGAATTCCCAGGACATCATTATAAAATGTCTAAAAATATTCATGCCGCAATTCCCTGCGGCAAAAATCAATGTTGAAAAGATGCCAAAAAGACAAATTTGATTTTGACCTTTTTTCGGTATTTTAAACATTGCGTGCAGCAGTTTTAAACTGAATGTATTCAGTTTCGAGGCGAATAGTGTCCTGAGAAAAAAAGAAACGATGCACGACAAGATAATAACTGTAAATGTTTAAGCACGTCTTTGCATTGCATCAGAACTTGAACAGGATTTTTAAATGATAAAAACGATGTTGTATGACACTAATGAACTCAACACCTAATTAATTAGGTGGGAATAAGACTTCAGTTCCTACAATTTGAACTGAAACAAGGTGATGTTGTTTCTTAATGATAAAATAGAACCTCCAGTAGATAGATAAAGTTTTCATTATTTTCTGGGTTTGAAAATTCAGTGAGTGATCCACCAAACTTATATTTTTGCCCACGCTTCAGCAAATGTTTCTCACGTCTCCGAACCAACTCCCGAAATATTTTGACAGGGCTCAGAGGGTGGACGGATGATTTTCAGATCTGCTAACTCAGCTGTTGCTAGTTATGGAGAAAGTCTACATGTAGTGTTCGTAGCAGTATTTTCGGAGTTGTACATGATCGAGGCACAGTGTACAGTCATCTGATAGCGGCCTTTTCACTTAAAGTGAGCAAAGTACCTATGTAGGCGCTGACTGATGGGTTTTGTCCTTTCCGACAGCAAAACATCATTTTTACACCCGCTGACAGTAAAACGATTAACCCTGGAGTTTTCCTGCTCAATTGTTGTCCGTATTTGGTTTGTTTGAAAGAAATCAACTCTCGACACGTCAGCTTTGTCTAAATATGGTGCTACGCTTATTCTCCATACTGGGCCCAGTTGTTCGAAGACGCTGATTGGTGCTAACCCAAGGTTAAAATTTTATCCAGGTTTCTTTATTCCTTTGTTGGAAAGTCTTTCTCTAATAATTTTCTCTCTTCTTTGAAGGGCATCCAGTCATCAAATTGTAGACAAAAATAATTCTACTGAATTTTCTTTTAAAGCTTTCAGATCTTAAACTAGATTTCACACTAACCCTGGGTTATCTTAACCAAGCTCTGAACAACCAGGCCCTGTTCTCCAAATATTTGTTAAGACGCCGACACGGAGAATTTGTCTAACAATCAAGAGCTTCTTTAGTCGGTGATCAGATCCTTTATTCTCCTGACCTTAGTGTTTGATTCAGGGGTGGTATGGTAAGGAGAAATTAGATGCCAGTCATTCTAAGGGGTTAAAGGGTTAATCAGCTATGAGTAAGTAATTTATCTTATCCCTCTTACGCAAATTAAAAATCTGTTCTAGAAATACACAAAGTTATGTTCACTTTTCTAAACGACTGCCTTGATTTGTTTTTTTAAATAGTCAGTTTTACCTACGTAGTTTCCCTTATGATCAGTTGTGCTAATCGAGGGGCGAAAAGCAAGTCAACATCTTACGACTCAATTATCCATCGATCAATCAACATTCTGTTTTTTCTCGTTAAGCTGCCAGGCAAAAGGCGACAGATCAACAGAAACATTACCTGTTCCTCCTCTCTTCTCTTAGTTTGATTTCACTCTGAATTTTCGCCATTACCAACGCGAATAAAGGTACCTCCCTTTCAGTTACAAACAGGAAAGCGCTCAATTACTTGAGCCTTACAGTTTATGCTTAAGAAGCCACCGATGGAAGTGAAAAGCCAATTCAAGAAAAAACAAACAAACAAACAAGAAATGATGAGGAGAGGGGGGTAGCAGAGAGGGAGGCTCCTAAGCATGACTATCTGACTCTCCGGGCTCCTCTCTCTATCTCTGAGATAAGATTCTTGGTTTAATTTTAGTGGTCGGTATCTATCTGGGGTCTACCTAGAGCAGTCTTGTAATGGCTGGGGTAAAGACCGATTTAAGGACCTGTGCAGGTGGGTGACCTGTGTATGGAAAGGGCATGCACAGGTCGCACGCCAAAACCAATAGAAGAAGCCGAGTACAAATCCTGACGAAAGACACTAATTCGAGTTCTTCTGTTAGAAATTTAGCTTGACAAACGGACAAGAGTGATGGACCTAACTCGCATGATATGGGGGTGTTGTCCCTAAGAGAATGTCTGTTATAGTTACAAAGCCCTCTGAGTCCTCCAAATCCGGCAGACCAAATATAGTTATGGTTTTGGTGATACTTTCTCTCCTTAAGACTGGCGATCGCAATCACAAGGAAAAAGGTCAATGATGAAGTGAAACCCCCACAATTTCAAAATACAAATATGCGGGAAAGAAAGTTTCCAACAGCTTTTGTTTTTATTACTTACAGAAAGCCTTTTCTTTCTGGCCACGACCATCATGACTGTATTATTATTTATTGCAACGCACCAAACATTACTAGTTTTCACTGTGACCGAAAAATGTTTCTCGGTAAGACAAAAGAAATGCGGGAGAGGCGATAAGAAACCAGCAAGGAACAACTATGGCAAACTGGTGGTGGAGGAAATTGCAAAACGACTGATTGATAATTTTGGCATCTGAAATCTTTGGAGAAGTACAATCCGTGACTGGAGAGAAATGACTCTTCTTCTCCAAGTCTTCTCTGAAAGGGAGGAAAACTTAGCGATTATGATGTTTGTCCGTCGAGGGTTTACGAGATCATCTAGTCATCGTGGCGATTAAGGTGAGGGGGGGGATCTTCTGTCCTGCAAGCGCAGGGAGATTGCTAGCCCAATCCTAGCTGAGGATGGTAACTGCAACTAATGGCCTGCTTGCTCTTGCCCTACCGGCCTGTCTATGCTTTCCTCCACTGCACTAGTTCTGGCTAATAAGCAGCTGCCCCTGTGTAGCGGGCGCAGCATAGTTCACTGTCAGCGGGTTCTCGTGAGGTTAACTTAATCAATTATTCAACGCCGGCAAGTGTCTTTTGGTTCCACGTTGACACATACAGGACGATTATTCTACTACCAGACCCATTCCTTATCATGACCATCTTGTTTTCTTCCTGTAACGCATGATGCAATCGAGGGAATGGGATAGGGAACGAAGTCGAAACGATATCCAACAATTCGCTTTCTAGCTATTGCGGGCAGAGATAACGAAAACCATGATCTTAGATCGAACAGAATCCGTGATCTAAACTTTTTTTTTTTTTCTAATTTCAAGTTACGCATTTTAAAAAGTGATTCGCTTAGCGCGGAGTGTGGGGTGTATTTAATTTTAAGCACGTGTTTCCCAGAATTATGTCGATGAGTGAAATGACAAAGTCCACCGAATGAACTATGAATTTTCATTTAAGAGCTTCCGGTTTTATCCGCCAGCTGTCGCGATGGCATTGTTTTCAAACAAAATACCCCATTTAGGAAATATGAAATAAATGAAAGGACACTTTAATTCATGACTAAATATACATATGACACTTGACACCTGGCTAAACGAAAGTTTTTCCTTTCAAACGCGCCCTTCTAAGCCATGATCATGACCAAACGATTATTTTTGGCCCATTTTTTTTCAGTTCGGATTTTTTCTTATCGCTAGTTTCATTTATTAGCTGCTAAGAAAACCGTTCTTTTGAACGTAAATGGTAATCAGGAATTGGACAAAAGAGAATCTTAATATTGTCTGGGTTTTTAATTATAATAATAATAATAATAATGATGATGATGATGATTTTTTAGGCTGTATTTCTTGGAAAATCCCAGCAATTTGCGGGGAAATGGACAGTTCTAAGATTCTTTGATGTAACTGAAACGTGAGGGATGGAGCTTAGCAATGTGTAGCATGTATGGGAAGTTGTTCGATCACTACATTCCTGTCGGGGTTAACATGAAGCATTTATGATAAAAGAAAGCTTTGAACCGTGTTGCGACAGGTACATTATGATATTCAACCAAAGTATATTAAATGAGTCAGCAAATTGGGATGCAAACGGCGACCCAGTTTAATCATAAGCATTTCCAAAACTGATCAGAGAGTGTCATTAAACACACACAGAGACGGAAATCGGAAAATGCAAGAACGTGAGACACAGCAAGCCAAAATAATCAACACACGCCCGGGAAGTAACTACCCCACATGACAGCATGAGTTTGAAATCCAAACTAATCACGATGAGTTTGCCATCTCACAGCTCAGAGTCAAACATTCCGTCACGCCCATAAAGAGCATGATCATTCAATGTGTCTTTCGTTCTTTGAATTGCTTGTCTGTGACATAATGCGAGCTGAAAATAGTCTTTCTGATCAGCCGAGTGTTGAGAATCCCTTTATTCTAGTTACGTTTCAATCGTTAGCGAGCTCCGGCTTACTAGGTGGGTTTCAAATAACATATGTATGTGTCAGTCAGTCACCGCCAACGAAGTACCCTCAGTGTTTGGAAATCAGGATTTTCTATCACTTAAGTTTAAGACCACCTTGGGTGCGAAGAGAGTTTGTTGTGAAATTTTAGATGTAAGAGAAGTATGAGGTATTAACGCAACCAAAATAATTTACACTATGTACACAAAAAAGCGAACCCAGTGAGATTGTCATCCTTTCTCGCTCAAAGTTTCCTGGAGTAGTTAAACAAGCTTCTTACTGACCCTGACCATGAAATAATGATCCCAGTAATAATCATTGGCAAATCATTTAATTAAACGCTTCAGCTATTTAATCAAGATATCCGTCTATAACAGCCGCATGTTTTCATGATACCCTGATTAGACTATATGATTTGATAAATTCATTTGATAAAAGACCGTGAGCCAGAGTCTAATTTTAAGAACAGGCGCAAACCTTATACTTCACAGTCGAAAAGCCTGTTAAATTTTGTTGCATATTTTCATTCAAATTATGAACACTATGTGTCGGGGCTCATCGTAAGCATTTCTACCAGCTTATTCACAGAATAGCAGGTCATTGATAAGTGACCATAACTCTCGCACGGCGATCGAGATGAGGCCGAAAGAGCTTATAAGGGTGTACAGAGAGATTGAGCGTGGTTTGTGGTTGTGTTTTTTCCTGTTTACTTTCTTCACAAAAGAAAAATTATCAAACAGGAAATTTCTTCTGTATCTCTGAGAGTAGATGAGAAATACTCAGGAAACGTTTTCAAGGGACATTGCTTTGTCAAAGCACATAGAACAAAATATAAGTCCTGCTGCCTAAAGAAATTACACAAAAACTTGGCATTATATCCGAAAGAATTTCATGACATGGTCGTTACTTAATGAGACTCACGGGCGAGGCGTAAAATTTCAGACACAAAAGATCCCTTGTATTGATTGAAGTGCGTACTAAAGAGAAATCGGATTTCACAACACTGTGTTCTAGCACGTTCAGAACTTATAGGTTTTGCAATCTTGGTAAACAAAACAAATCACACTGTTGTCGAGTCATTTACACTTGTTTATTATCTTTTAACGATTATTCCGATTTTTCATGTTCATGGATTCACGAGCCAATAAAATTGTAACCCCAACTGATTCATTCTTTCAGTTTCTAGGATATGGGTATCAATTCCCTCAAAGTATCATTAAGAAGTACTTTTACGAAACAATTCAATCTACATTATGATTCAAATCAATGACGCACGGTGATGCTAAATGGAAATACAAAGTCGTTGCAATGCAATGGTTGTATTCAGTTCGGAAACCAACGAAGATGAAATCGATAACTAGATCGTAATCACTGAGAAATAACCATAACATCCAGCTAAGAGAAACAAGTCTTGCAATTTTTGAATTCCTCTTAAAAAAATTTCCCCCAGTTGCGTATGCTTTTAACAATGGACTGTCGACATCCTTAGCGGCTGACGCAATTTTAAATTCACATTGACTGAGAATTCACTGAGAACTATGTACAGTAAAACAGAAGTTAATTTGAAAACCAGAGTTAACATACAGTTAAAATTTCACTCCTGGCAAATTTTCATCATATACATTCTCAGCGTAAGTTCAGACAGGCTATGAGCAATAAATTGTCATCACAGAAAAACGATTCCAGTGGAAATTTATGTTAATGTTAGAGCCACTGAAGCTTTACGTGCGTCATTTAAGCAAATTAAAAGAAGGATGGGTTGGAATCTAAAATAATAAGGAAATAGGAAAAAGCTAGAAACTTAGAGGACAAACCCAATAGTGCAAAATGCATTTAGCTCTGCCAGCAGTCGCATGAAACACAGACGATTGTCCTCGACATATACACTTGTATTGCCTCTGATTACCTCTGAAATAACTTTCTAAGTTGTATTCCGCAGTTCCTTCGGTGGAACAAGTAACACCAATGATTCTTTCCTGAGTGTTCTCAGTAACGATAACGTTTTGTCCAGCGCCAGCTCTCTCGGCTGTGAAAGGGACTCCATCTTCTACCCGATAGACACACAGAGACATATTTACTAGCCCCGGTTTTCCCGGTCTTCCGTCTACACCATCCTTTCCTGAAGGGCCAATAGGCCCAGGGTTTCCAGGCGGGCCCCTCGGTCCGACCAAGCTACTGATATTAAGTTTATAGTTTTTCGCGAAGGAAAATGCTTCAGCCGCTCTTTGTTCTAGCTCTACAATCTTTCCAGTGTGTTCGATGTCTCGTCTCTGAAGCTGTGAAATGATTTCGTTTTTCTTTCTGATAGCTTGATTTAATTCACTCAAGTTTGACTTCATTTCCTTGATCACTCTCCATAATTCCTGTGCTGATCCCACCGATTGAGCAGTAGAGCTTTGGCTGGGTACGATTTCTTTCTTACAATCGTCGCAGCCTGGGACAAACATGATCCCCAACATAAGCATCACAACAACAACTGCGGCCCCCAAACCAAATAAGAAACCGAAAAACGCCATGACTTTGAACAGTTTGTTACACGTGTCTCTGTGGTAGCCATCGTCGGAGTCGTTCGTGAACGTTCTTTTCCGCTTCTGAGAGTAAGGTACGGGTTCGTAAGCTTCATTTGTCTTCCTTCTCGGCCGCTTGTTACCTGATCTACTCGGAGGATGGGGTCTCCCTCGACCTTGGTTGTGGAATACTTCATCCGCTAGTTTGCTTGGGTCCTCATACTGATGGCTTGGATCGTCTACAAAGCGTCGACCGTTCATGTTCTCGTAAGAATCCTGTCTTGTCTTCAACGGCGTTGTGGCCCGACATTCTGGTTCATAATCCATCATGAAATCCTCGTTTGTTGGAGTAAACGCTCTGTTGGGGACCAACTCGGCTCTGGAATTGACGCTAGCCATGTGCTTACACTTTCTATAGTAATTTCTGTTTCTTAATCAGTAGTGTACTCTGTAATTAGCTCTGTAAACTTGGCCCGTAGAAAAAGTTCTTCGTCTAATAATTGGGCTCCTTCTGAGAACAGGCGTCAATGTTTGTGTAGTAATTGCGTTTGCGTATCTGTCCGTAATTTGAGCAGCGTGTAGGCCTGGCTGACCGCAGAGATTGTATATACTTCCGATCAAGAAAATATACACGCGTTGTGATGAGATACTGCTTGTTATAGATTAAGATAGTCACGCCATGGGCCAATGCCCAAGTACAGCTCAAAATATGAATGAATGACTTCTGGAATTTAACGAAGAAAAAAACGACGCTGAGCTTTGTTTTAAAACTTCCGGTGATCCTTTGTTTATTTTCGCGCCATTTCCTCGCTCTGTTTCCTGTTACATGTGCTATAATCTTTTTAACCTGAAGATTTGGATGTCTGCCAACAAAAACTTTCCTGTTCATCTTCAAGCACCGGTCTTTGTCCCAATAGAGTCTGCTAAAAAATTACAACTCCTTCCAAACTGGCACATTTTTCGCCTAAAAACCCTACGGCAAATTGTTTAGAAAAAGGAATGTTATTGATAGGGATTGTAATTCAATGACAGCGGAGCGGAACAAGTAGTCAGAAGACCGCGATATATGCACAATGGACTTGAAGGTTTCTTTAACCAATCAACTATCGCCAGCTGAGACAAAGGTTGCGACGGGGTAACTAGGTATATCTTAGGGCAGTTTGATCGGATTTTATCCCGCAAACTCACAATCAGAGATGAGATGACATAAAATCTAAGAATATTTGGCACGAAATATGACACAGCCAAGATATTTGAGGGCGGAAGGGAAGGAGTCAAGGTACATTTCTGTGTCAAGGAATTCAGGCGCGTTTAAAGCTACAAGGATTCACTCAGCAATTGTCAAAGGCAAACAAACCTCACTTCCTGTGAGGGACAGAATCTGAGTAAGTTTGAACACAATGGCCGCGATGGGCCTATAATGGTTTATGCTGAAGAAGCCGTATACAACTACCATAAGTTTGGACACTATAAAGTTATTATGGCACTCAAACCGGTCGATAGTCTTCGCAATCAGTTGTTCTTTGCGAAGGAATCTACAAAACACAAGAAAGAGGTGCTAATAAGTAACAAATCTTCGCACCTCCCTGTTAAACAAGCACCGAACTTTAAGGGAACACGAAAAGACGGCAGATTTCTCGACAGCAAAACGGCTGCGCAACTTCGAGAACGAAAGACACATCTGAAACCTACTTCGCACTCGAACCCGGACTCGTTCGAAGAACTAATCGAACGATACAAAACTCGCAGAGCGGCCTATGATGATCTCATGGGAACAGGACACGTCGAAGTCTTAGACAAACTCGACAACTTGTACAGGCAAAGAAAGGAAGAGAGGTTAAAACTTTTGGCGCAGTTTAGCAACCTTGGAGAGATACGAACTGAGATAAATACATCGACGGGTTTAAGAGACCACGCGGCAGATTTAGAGAAGGCAAGTAAGGAAACAAAGGAGACTTTAAAACTACCAAAGATTCGAGTATCTACAGTGTCCGAATTATCCAAGAACGACTCGCGAAGAAAGCTAGATAGAAAGCACTTGCTTGTCCCGAGAGAAAAAGTAGGGGGTACTTCGTTAGGAGCGCGCAATGCGAACTTAGAGAGTGTCACTTTTAAGTTACCGGAGCTCTAGTACCCAGCAGCTCATATTGAATATTTTCTTAAGTGCAAAACAAAATCTCTGATTCATCCTTTTCTGGTGGTAAAGATCGCAAATCTGAACACGCCTGTAGATTATCTTTTCCGGAAATCTGCTTACCGACGGAGTAAGGGGTTTTATTAAGAATTATAAATGATTTGCGTGTCGTTCGCCAGTTGTCTTCACCGAGCCATTGAATGCGAGTCATCAGTCACGGTTTAGTGATCAAAAGGATTTTATAATCACTGATCGCACAAAAGACGATAACAGGGTTAATTTATTTGTATATATTACGTCTCCGTAAATGACTGCAGTTATAGGTCTAATGATAGCTGAAAATATTGCAACTATGACAAAAGTAAATCGCAAATTAAAAGTGGGTGATTACGTTACCCTGCTTGAATAAAACACGGCCTGATCAAATTGCGTGTAAACAAACATTAGAAGAGTTGTCAGAGAACCCTGCCATTATTGAACACTGGTTAAAACGTCGATCAACTCCGCACAAAGTCCGTGATCTAAAGTAAAAAATAGGAAATTCAAAATTTGGAACTGGTGACCGCAGTTAATTGAAAGCAGCGAAAGTTAATTTGGATGTACAGACTTAATTTAAACTTATTAAGATTTGACAAACTTGGTAAGGAAACCATGCTCTTGTGTGACGCCTTAGATTAAAATCATCGATGTGGATTTCACACCAGGAGAAGAGAAATGATTTGAAGCACATCATCAATGATCCATTAAAAAGAGAGAAAAGGGAGCAATCTGTTGGGCAATTAAAAAAAACACCAAATGCCAATTTGTACGAATCAAATGGCTTACCGTGAGTCAAAACACCGATCGAGTATCAAAGCCGCAAAACACAAATACAAACGGCGAAGTGAAGTACTGGGTCAAGTAAGTTCGGTCAAACTTACGCAAGAGCAGTAGAAGGTTCTACTTTTTTCTCCGAGTATACCTTACTTTCAACGCTCTGGTTTGACTTCAGAGACAGACATCGATAGAAATGAAGACATGACCATTTTCGACTTTCAACCGAACACAAAGAAGTTTTATATAATCCATTCTCGTGATCCAATTTTGCTATTGACAAAAAAAACAGAGCTGAAAGGTCGAGCAAAACAATGCAGCTATAAAAGAGGGAACCTTTCACCTCAGATACGTTTCAGGTATGTTACCGCAAATTATAGGAAAAATTACGTCCTTCCCTAACTCGCTTCACGGTCAGGGCCGTAGGCAAGACGAGGCAATTGCCTTGTCTTGATTTTGGCCCAAGATTGACTTTTCTGAAGAAAAATGCCTCGGGAAATGCTTAAAAGAGCATTTCTGAGCCTCTAGAATTCAAAATTTTCAGGGGAGCATGCCCCCCAGACCCCCCTTGCGGCTCGCGCCTTCAGCGCTCGAAAATTGCCTCGTCTTGTTCTGAAGTCTGGCGACGGCCCTAACGGTTTGAAGGTTCAGTGCAAGTTGATAGTAGAAATTGTGTCTTTTTCTCCTTTCCAGCATAAAGCAATCTTGTCATTATCCAGCAGTTTTCATGATGTTTTACAGTAGAAACACTACTACACTTTACTCAAGTATAAAAACTATAGAAAACGTAATCATTAGACGTATGCCTATCACATCCAATATTACGCTCTTGCTTCAAACTTTTCCACTTAACAAACCAACCACTAAGCGTGCGCAATACAGACGTCCAAGGAAGGTCTGTATTGCCGCTTGGACATCGCTGGAAATCGATAGCCATGGAGCAATAGTTGGCCAACAGATTTAACTTGCGATATTTGAACAATCCAAAAAGTTACCTCAAGTTAAAGGAAACCACAAACAATTTACTCGGCAAGATAAGAGGAAATTCAGAGTTAACCCTAAAATTAAAATGTACTGCAAATGACACATATGAACTGAGTCATTCAGACTAAAAAATATTTTGACAAGATGCTCGACCTGCGGGATTCCTTCATGTTCAGACCAAGGAGAACAAACCTACGTCCGCAAGTGCTAATACAGTGAGCCAAAAATGAAATTTCTGCAAAGCCTTTCTGGGCAAGTTCAGCGGGTATTGAAAGGGAAGTTAGAAAGTGCTGATACAGTGAGACTAAAAGGAAATGTCTGGAAGGTTTTTTCTAGGTTCGGCGGAACAAGGAAAGGGAAGTTAGCGTTGTAAACGTGACTTAGAAACCAAGGTCGCTGTCACACCCACTTCCAGTCATGTCCCAGTTTAGTACACGGATTCTTCGTGAGGAGGTTGTCGGAAATAAAAGTGTAAAACTGCATGCGATACAGGTACATGGGTAGTTTTCAGGTCACGGTTCCTCGACCTCTTTATTTGAGAACGTCACTGTAAGCGTGCGGGTTTAATGCATTTATTTTATTCCCTGACTTTTAATGCTAAACTCGATGAAAAACAAAAAAAAGACTTGATTTGTCCATTGTTATTCTTTTCACTCATTGAAATTGATTGATTACAGGATACCTAGAATATCTTTCGAGATTGTCGCGTACATTTTCGTCTTTTCTCCCGACAACATTTCTCGAAATAGCTGTATACTAAAACAGGAGATAGCATTGAAGGCGCGCTGTGATTGGCTAATTTCAAACTCCGAATATTCTTTTTTAATTTATAATCATTCTTTAAGGAAAATGTTAACGTCGTTCTGGGGTTGGTGTAGGCTCGAATACCAGCTTATGAGCTCGCGCTCCTCCCCTTGAACCAGTGAGGAGTGGGGACCGGATACGAGAGAGCGGCGGAAATCGAGCATGGGTCGGTGCAGTAAGAACAAAATCCGAGTCTCTCTTGAGTGCGCTAGGTAACGATGATTAATGAAGTGAATAGACTATTGTCTTAAGAAATTCGTGAATGGCCAGAAACACTCAGCGTAAGAAACGACCGCAGATCAGTCCATTATAGAACATTAAAGACAGGTGTAATTTCCATAGATAACCATCTGGAAAAAAATGACTTCAGAGTTCACCTGCTCATGCAGAATTACTCTAAAAATGCTGGGAATGTCGTTGGGAATCGTATGAACTTGACAGTGTCTTTATAGAATAGAGAAATCGTGGAACGGAACGTGTAATGCTGATTTGCTAATACGCCTGAATCAAGTGGAAGCAAAAAGTCCAGGATTACTGAACCAACGTATGCGGAATTCTCCGTAACGCAAGTAGGAAATTCTGCGAAACTGACCCGGGATCACGTGGTATAAATAAAGTTTATCTCAAGAACGAAAAACAACCTTGCAAAGAAAGGAGAAATAAATCGATAAAGTACGATTGATACTCCTTTGCTTTGGATGTCTCGTTGGGCTGTTTGTCTAGTCTCGTACCCAGACGTTCCACGGCCAAGCGGTCCTACATGTCAGTTACAGTTGTACAGCAGGATCTGAGTACGAGATTACTGTTTGTCTCCTAGCGAGTATGGAAAGCTGTCACCACCAAATCAAAACTCGTATCGACTTGCACATTACTGGTCCAAACCACTTCGAATGCTGTTGAGTTACATAATTAACACGGTCGGTAAGTTTGGAAAATGTCTGGTCACCGTCTCTTTTTCACTGGTATAAACCTAGTAGCGTCCTATAACAATAGCTGCAATCTGATTGGCTAAGCTACACCCTATATATTTTATGAGAAATAGTGAGTAAAGTGGGTAGCCTAAACAATATCAAATGAAAACCGGGGCCCGTCTCATCGGTAAATTCTGAAAGGTTAGTAGATTCTGAAAGGTTAGTAGATTCATACTGAAAGAACTAGATCATTAATTCTCGATTTCTATGTGTGATAAATAATGAGGGCTTGGCGTTTATCAAATATTACGCGAATCCAGAAATCGAGAGCGAATACCCTCGTTTTGTTATATCGCCTGTAGCGCCCACGTGCAACATAAAGTGAATCTTGTGTTCTGATTGGCTAACCGAGCGGGCAGCATGGGCCAATCTTGCCCGCTTTAATCCCGCGCCATAAAAACATTGTGTGGAGTGGACTTACGTAGGACTTACAAAGTTCGTAATTTTTGGACGATGTCAGAGAAAAAGTTGCAAAAAGCGGCAGACGATAGTCAAAACGAAGAAAACACGAACGACAATACCGGGTTTATTGTGCTACATACACGGTCGGCTTTCTTTCCGGTTCCCGAAATAAACAAGTCATTCCTGATTCTCAATAAAAACGAAATATTTTTGTTATATAATACATCTCTTAATTTCAAGACCAAGCTTGTTTAGTCAAGATGGCTGGATATTAGCCTCGTTCTCTTTTTGTGTTTTCATGGGTGTCGAATTCGTCTCGGTCCATAACAACGCAGAAAAAGAACTCGGCCAATATGGAGCCATATTGACCTCAAGCTTAGTCAATAACGCATGTATATAACGCATATAAAGCAGAAATTGAGAAGTGAAAAACAGTGGCCTGGCGCTATCCGTCTCGCTGTGAAGTTTGAGTGCCCAGACAATTTTAACTTAAGCATTCAAAAAATGTTTCCCCTAATTTTGATCGCGTGATAATGAATTCAAGCTTCACCCTTTTTAAATATTCAGCCATCAGTCGATAAGCACAATATCTAATGAGTGAATCCTCTCTCACGCGTAACATACAGATTAGGCGTCATATTTTCTTTAGTTTTACGGTATTTTGGAAACCAAATGAATGCGTGCACAATGTAAGCACGAAAGACGAGTTACGCCCGAAACTAAGGAGGGCGTAACTTGCACGTGACTTGCACTTTGCACAAGACAGTTGTTCTGAAAGCAGTTAACAAGCGACGCTTCAAATCACCGATCGCCTATTATTCAGACCAATCAAACCAGTCTTTGTCTACATCTGATGCAGCGATCTTAAGGTTCATCTTTTAATTGACTCATTCGAAGTAAGCCTTGGTAACAACATCACGTTTCTTTTCAACTGACTTTCAATTGTTTTTTGATCTTAGATAAACACTAAACAGTGCTCCTAATACAACTGCAGATAATTCAAATAACCGAACTCTTCATTCACCTCAGCTGTCAGCTGTTTGAACAGTCTATTCTTATGAAGTCTACCTCAATATCAACTGTCTTTTTGCGGTGAAACTTGTAACTGGCCGCCAAGTCAAAGCGAAGTTCAGCCAACACTTCCAATTTCACTCCCCATTCACAAGCCTTTTTCTTGATGTGTTCCCTTGTGGCTGTCTTGTGCAGAGAATAAACAGCTGTATTAGACATACTGATGGCCTGCTGTAGAAATTTGAGGTCAATACCTAGAAGAAAATCAATAAAGAACAATTATTAAAACCCAATTCAATTGCATCTCCTAAAACCAAAATCAAACTAATCAGAACAGAGGTAATTATCAAATAATAAAACCAAGCAAACTGCCTGAAAAGCAGGGGAAACCAAGTCATAATTGCTATATTTAAATTTTGCACCTGATTTTATGAGAAGGTGGCTTGAGTATTTTAGACCAATCATAAGTGTGATGAAGTAAAATCAGAGTAATCCAAAGTTATCTGGGAGTGCATTTATTTGCTTAACCCTTTAACACGCAAGATCTCATTAGTAATTCTCCTTACCGTCTGCAAAATGATTCTCATCATGTTAGTTTGGAGAATTTGCTATCAGGTCAATTAGTAATGCGACAATTGATATTTTTCTTTATTTTCATCACTTGTCTGCATGATATTGTATAGATATAGTAGTGAGAAATTCTTTCTTAGTCACTCATGGCTTAAGTGTCCTTAAAACTGAATGCAGTCACACCATATACCAAAGTCACCTCTGAATAGGATGCTAATCTATCAGCAATTCTTTATGTTTTCAAAACAGTTCAATGGTACCCATAAGTGGTATCCAGTCATTTTGTGCCCATGATTGTTTCATACCCAAACTCAGTTGATTTGTGCCCAGTTTGAGTTGCTTTGTACCTGAACCACTTGTCAATTTGTACCTATCCCAATGTACATTCATTTGAGTGAATGTAAACAGATGTTGATTGTTTGTGTACAAAACGTTAGTAGAGTCAAGGGAGTAAGAAACAAACAAAATTCTACTGTGTATACTCGTGATCTAACAAACAAAAACAACTAAATTATTGCCTAATGCAAGGTAAGTGTGGTATTTCTGATAGAACAGTTTATTGTTTACACTTGTACTTTTTTTGGACACCATGTACCTAAAACTTATTGAACACAAGTAATAAGCTATTTAAAATAAGAAACTGACCTTACTCTAACCATACTTGACATGGAAAATATATTTTGTTAGAATGGGTACAAAAAATCTCAACTGACTAGATATGAATCAACTGAGCTGGATATGAATCAACTGAGCTGGATATGAATCAACTGAGCTGGATATGAATCAACTGAGCTGGATATGAATCAACTAAGCTGGATATGAATCAACTGAGCTGGATATGAAACGACTGTTGGTAAGAAATGACTGGTAACCCCATTCATATACTTGCAAGGGATGGGACACCATCAGAGTGAAAGGTCTTACTTAAGAGCACAATAATGTGACCTGACCAGGGCTTGAACTCAGACCTTTTAACCCTCAACACCTTAAATCAGTATGCATATTCTCCATACTGTTCTCTAAACATTTGCTAAGATGTCAACATGGAGAATTTGTTTAACAATCAAGAGCTTCTTTAATCAGTGATCAGCTCCTTTATTCTCCTGACCTTCCTGTTTGATTCAGGTGTGATATGGTAGGGAGAAATTAGATGCCAGGCACTCTTGGGGATAAAAGGGTTCAACTAGAGTCCAGCATGGTAACAAAAGGCCATCTGTGTGCAGGCTCTCACAAGCAGTGCAACACAAGCAGCAAAGCCTGCCCATTGCCAGCCTGGGAATGATTCAAGTGTGCAGTAGGTTCCTGAGGATTCTGGTGAGATAATGAGTGCCAGAACCCTCCCTGACCTCTCACCAGCTCGAATCTTGCAGGTTTTGTTGCTCCTGCCATAGTGCTTGACCCTTTACAGCCTAACATCAGTAGACATATTCTCCATACTGTTCTCAATACATTTCCCAGGATGCTAACAAGGAGAGTTTGTTTAACAATCTAGAGCTTCTCTCATTGGTAATCATTTCCTATTTCCTTCATACCTTTATGTCTGATTTGGGGGTGATATTGTAAGGAGAAATTAGGAGCTTATCACTCTTAGGGGTTAAAGGGTTAAGAGAGCCTGCTCGAAGGCACTATTTGAGCAAGAGACTAATTCAGATCTTGGCCGAGGCTTCCACCAAGGCCTGGTGCAGTGCTTGATCAAATTTACCCATTCTGAGAAAAATCAGCATCTGAATTTTGCGTAGATACCTCTATTGTTCTTAGTTCCAAAAGGAGGGTTCATAATGATCGTGTCAAACGTTTTCCTCCATCTGTCACACAATGCAATCTGTTCCACGTCACCTTGTATAAGTTCACATGTTTGAATCTCAAACTCTGCGCAGTTACTAGCAGCGATTTCTAAAGCATCGCCGTCCACATCAAATCCGACTGTCATAGCACTTCCAAGCATACATGAACCGATACTTAAAACGCCGCATCCACATCCCAAATCACCGACAAGTTTCCCTTCAATGTCACCAAATGTGGAGTCGATCGTGTACAACATGTGAGCCGCTATATGCGGCGTTGTTGGATATTGTTCCAGATCCACTTTTGGCTTTTCAAAAACATCAACTTGCTGTAAGTATCCTTCTAGCTCTTTAAGCTTCATTTCGTAAAAAGTAACAGAATCGTAGAGTATATGTAGCCTGGTCACATCTCTCGAAATTTACTTCATTCACGGCTTGGCGACCAATACGCTTGGTAGCCTCGCCAAACGAAACTTACCGAAACCAATATGGTGGACGATGAGGGCAAAGAGCGACAATCAGACACAGAGACAAGCAATTCGAGTCAGATTGGATGGGTAACGTTTGACGAACCAGACACAGATGAACCAGAGTGCCTCAAAACTTCGGATCACAAGCAAATTTGTGCGCAAAAGGGACAACATATTGCACGCTTAGGTGAGTCTCAGCAATGCTCTTTACTTGCTAATCGAAGATCGATTCATTGCTTTGAAAGTCATCGGAAATTGTTCACCTTCCTACTATTCCAAGACGAGAGAAGTGCAATTTAATCTAGGAAATCATGCAAGAGTTTTAATTTGGGGAAATTCGGTCACTCGGCCTCAGCGATCTTGATTCTTGGTGCTGAGATTGATAGATAATTGAATTTTCTCAAAGCAGCTAGGATAGTTGAACCTTTATTGGAACAGATCAAAACGAAAAAAAAAAAGAACTTAACTGGATTTACTTACTGATTTGGAATATGCAATTGAGGTTGTTAGCGGATGTGATGGCAGAGAAAAAAATTAACTGATGGCTACTGGGGCAAATTTCTCCTTCAGTCCATTAACTTCTAAGAATGACTGGCTTCTAATTTCTCTTTACAGTATCACCCCTGAATCAAATGTTGAAGTGTTGAGAATAAAGGAAATGATCAACAATTAAAGGAGCTTATGGTTATTAAAACAATTCTCCTTGTCAGCAGCTAAGGAAATGTGTAGAGAACAGTATGGAGAATATACATATGGATGTTGGGATGTAGAGGATTAATAATGATTCATTGCAGAAGAGATAGGTGTGATGTCTGAATTACTTCCTTTTTTTCTCAGAGAGGGAGCTTCAGAGACTGCAGGATAAGAAAAGAACACCTCTTTCATCCAAAGAAATGATAAAAACTTTGCAAGAAGCCAGAGATACTCATATGAAACACTTTATGGACAGGCCTGAACAATCAGAGGCATTTTTGACAGACGGAGGTGAAAGAAATGATAACTCTTGTTGCTTTCCTGTATACAGAGTAGTGTTTCCTAAACAACCACTCAACAATGAAGAACTTGAGTGCTTGGTCGAAGATAATGAGGATAATAATCCTGATAGAATAACAAGTGAAGCATGGAAGACATAATAAAAACTCATTCTAGCCAGTTTTTTGGGTGAAAAGGTTGAGCATCCAACAATTTGATCAGACCTACCTTTCACTACATTGAAAATAATAAAGAGAAGCTGGTAGCAATGACTTTTTAATGTGAGAATGCTCTCAATTTTGTACTATGAAGCCAAAATCAAATTAATAGTAACGATAATATTAATTCCAATACTGTGAATACTAATAATAATGATAATAATGATAATAATAATGATGATGATGATGAAGTTTGATGAGGGAACCCAACTTGCTAAAGTGGAGCCCTCAAGATCATAATTAATAAATTACTATGTTGATTTTGTAAAGAATTAAGGATTAGAATCAAAATCTTAAAATATGAAAAGAAATAGTTTTCATTTTTGCTTTAACAACTTAATGAAAAATGTTTTCCTTTCAAATTAATTAATTAATTAAAGAATTAACAGCTTGATTGTGGATAAAATCAAAGTCCAAATCAGTTTTTTTAATTACAGACATTTGTGTACAGTAATCACGATAGAGGGACTAATCTCCATTAACCCTTTAACTCCTAGAAGTGATAGAAATATAACTTCTCCCCATGATGTTCATACATTATCCAGCAAACAGGTCATGAGAATATTCAAACTTATCAGGTTGAAGTTGTTATCTGGATCTAACACTAAATTCTCAACTAATTTACCAGGAAATGTGTAGCAGCTAGAGGGGAGAAGTAATAATCACATCTTGGGAGTTGAAGGGTTAAATAAAATACATGGCATTTTGTTGTGTGGATGATATGGAAGAATGAAAAGGTCGTCAGAGGTGAGCTGAAATTAGAGAAATTTCTGCAAAGAATCCTAAAAAAGACCAGGCTTCAAAGGGATCCCATCCTTGTAATTTAGGCTAGAGAATTTGGTGCTATATCAGGATTACACCCTTAAGCTGCTAAGCTTTTCTGAACTCATAACCTGTTTGCAAGATAACATATTGGAACTACTAGGAGAATTTACTCATTAATCACTTCTGAAAATTAAAGGTTAATTCCCTTAAGTATCACGTATTCATGCCTCAAACTTTAGGAACAAAGGAATATTACGGTGCTCCTTCATGAAAGGTTCTCTTTTACAACTAAGCTCTAATCACAAAAGAAAGAAAGTCGATGAAAATGATCAAAGTAAAATTTTTGAATTATTATTATTAAGTGTTTTGATCCTTTTGGTTTGTTTTTACCCCATTTGTTAGGCAATTTTGTCAGACAATTTTTTCAATTTTATTTAATTAGATGGTAGCTAATCCAAGTGCTGTGTGAAATTCGATGCGTACGAAATATTCATTTACAGTACTGATGCTTGTGTTTATGCCAGTATCCGCCAGAGGTTTACGCACTGTACACGCAAAGGATATTGGTTAGCTCAGGAAAGGACTTGAACTTCACTACAAATGAGGTATGCCTGTTATTAAAATAGGATGGAAACTACAATTGGTAGGATTTTCATTCGACAAGAAAAGCGCAAATATAATGATGTGGAAAGAAAAGGAGTATGAGTACATCTCAAGCGCGTGAAAGAAACGTCAATGAGGAGCTCGCCATTCTTCGCTTACGACACGTCAGCCGTAAAGAATGTTGAACAATCGTGTACGGTGTGGTAACAGGCCCCTTAATCACCATTTTTTTTACCTGAATTCATAGTTATCTTCCCCTGATTTCACTAGTGGTATGTGTTCGTAACAGCCGTCTTCGAAGCCGGTACGCAGCATACTAGTAAGGCCGACGACATTGAATAGTAAAATCTCCTCGATATCGACGGTAGAAACGCGTCCAATTTGGCCACTCAGCCAGCATTTCTATGCACTTCTTTCCAAAGGATGTCTGTATATGTGTATTATTCTTGTAGCTAACATCGTTTGGCGCTCCGGCCATGCAGTACGTTCGCCCTTTCGCCTAGATTTTTCCTTGCTCCACCATGGTTGGCGACGTGTCTTTACAGTTTCCTCAGTATATCACAGCTATGTAACGTGATCGTTTTGGCCGCGTTTTGAGGACACTTTTTAGCCGCCAAATCATACTTTAAATGCACAAAAAATGGTCAAGGAGAACTCGCTATGCACTAAGGTCGATTATTTCTAATTTCAAATACAGCTATTTAACCGGAAAATACAAAAAAGAAAATTCGTGTCATAGGCACTTTCAAAGTAACATACACACATGAGCCCATCACTTGTGATGGACTCCTGATATACATCAATACTTTTTTTTCGCTGATTTTTTTTACTTGCGCAATGGGGAGGGACTGCTGGAAGTCTAAAGGCATGATGGCCAATAGAGCAGCGTAATGGGTGACAGCCAACACAGTAACAGAAACGGATTCAAATTTTCGAAAAAACCGCAAACTTTTTTCAGGGTGAATCTAGTTGTCGTGGGTCACTAACAAATTTCCACGGGTCTTCCTCGCCCAGAAGAAGTTGCTGCGTTGTCCTCTCAAGAGGGCGGAGTATGTCTTTTTCCTCTGCAACGGACCCAAGGAAAAAAACTATTCCCTATTCTTACATCTTGAACACATCTAAGGCACTATTAGTAAATAGTACCGCAAAAGAAACTAAGTTAGTTATTAAAAACGGTTTTGTACACGGGACTCAATAAAACAACCAGATCAAGCATTAATTAATCATGTTCTCGAAAAGCGCATGTGTAACCACTTTTCTGTTTTAACTTAACCACGCGCGTGGCATGTAACGGATTTGTTATTCTTTTTCCTCGTTCTTCTGTGTGACATCTATTGAGGAAGATGCGTTTTTCAGTGGATTTCATTGTCAACATTTGTTTTTTTGATATAATCTGCAACTGTGTATTTATTGATTTTCGGGAGATATTTTTCAGAAAAGCTTCTCACAGTTCTTTGTCTGGGTAAAGACAAAGTAGAAGTGGAGGGTTTTTCAGCCGAAAACAGATTTAAGAATTAATTCAGCTTGCAGCAAGAGACACTATTGGCCTGCACTTGATTTTGGTGACCAATTTGCCGATCATTTAGCCAACATTTTTTGATCCAAGATTTGCAATTTTTTCCGTTGTTTCAATTGCCTCCTTGCGTTTGCGTATGTGTGTTCTGCTTCACTAATGAAAAGCTCAAAAAGAGGGAAAACGAAAGAAATTAGAGAGACAGAAACCTTTTTCTGCTTGTTTGCCATTTCCATTATAGTTTGCAACCGGGCCGCGTCTGTCGCCATAGAAACAAATCAAAAGATTTAAATACGCATGTGCGAAAGTAACTCCTTTTTATGTTACCAAGGAAAGAGAGAACTATCCTGGTGGAATGCTTTGATTCAACCATCCAAGAAATAAATGTTCACGTGTAATTTTGAATTTAAATGCAAGTAAAATAAAGCGACGTGGACTGTAGGCTGCCGTAAGACGCGCTCTGAAAAAAAAATCATCGTCTTGTAATAGAGCGTTGAGGGAAGATCCTTTTCCCATAAAAGATGGGTTCGGAGATGAGCGCAAAGGAAGGAAGTGATTACCAAAATGGAAATGTCAAAAAGGACGATGATTTGTACGAAAATGGCGCAGACGAAAATGATCGAGATAAAGAAGGTAAAGCAGCTCAAGACATGGGGAGTAAATATAAAAATGGCGATATTCGCAGCAGAAAACCGGTTAAAGCGGGAAGTAGGACAAAAGCTGAGCTGAGGAAAGCAATTCTCAAAACTAAACAACCAAGCGTGAACGAACAGCATAAACCTATCGCCATTCCAAAGTGGCTCTCCCCAATTTATTCTGTTGTGATGTTTGTGGAAAATACCTTGCCTTCGAGGTTCAGACGACTGTTTGTTTTTCTGACCATTGTCGGGCTTGCATTTGGAACCAGGCTGTTCAGTGTGACACTGCCACCTCATATCTGGTTAGTAAAAGTTTTCGTGTTTATCAAATCTGAATCAATTGCCAAGATTGATGATGTTACCTTTGCAGTCTATGTTCTGTCAGTCGATGGACTAACCTTGTGGAGATTCCGCTGGATCCCTTCTTATTGTAGCATCATGATACTTTGCCGTGATATTTATATTTTGAAAATTTACCCTCCACTCTGAATTGATTGAGTGTTTTCAGTTCTGTCTCTTCCTTTCGAAACTGATGCCTCAACGATGAGGTGATTTCGGTAATTACCTTCAAGTTGCCGAAAGAGAATAACTATTAGTAGTGTATTTCTCACGAATAAGTTATCGTTATTCGATTATTTTGCTGGCTCAAAAGCTTCCCAAGCTTTCATTAAAGAAAAAATGACGTTTGAGCGAGTCGTGATGATTAAAGTCACATCCAAAACAGGTATAAATTCACGTCTGTGTACAGTAATGACTTAGTTATCTAACTCGATCAGAAAAAGACAAAAAACTACAACAACAACAACAACAACAACAGAAAAGAAAAACTTAAAACTAGATACACGAAAAAAAAAATGAAAAAGTAAACAAAACATAGAAAGCGGTGAATTGTTTTCTATTGCATTGTGTTTCGACGGCTAAGAAAAGAATGAGGGGCTAAGGGGACTTAGAGACATTATAACACGATTTTTGCTGACCAAAATTATTTCTAGAGAGAGAAACTTATGAAGGAGTGAAGGCTGACCCAGCCAACCTGAATGCTCTCTCCCGCAGCGGCTTCTCTTATTATTTTTTTGAACGATAATAAAGATTAAATTAAGATATTGAAGAAATCATGAGGATTCTGATGGACTGAGGAATCATTCCTTTTGAAGTTGCTAAACCTGTGCAAATCGGAAAGCAGGCTTTACCTAAAATTTCTATCTCAACGGGAACCGGAGTAGGTAGTGTGGATATTTTTACAGTGGTTTCCGTAGCTTTTTTTAATGAGTGGATGTCGATGGTAGAATAGAAGGGCTGTGGTCACTAAGGGGGTCGTACAAACAGCAGAAGACAGCTTCTGTCAGCCTGTGACAAGAGGTGAAGGTGGAAGAGACGTTCATTAAAAAGTTTTTCCTCATTCCATTAAAACATGGATCTACAGAATTATCTGAAACCTACTTTGAGAAATAATCTGCTTTGAATGAAAATTAACCGATGAATATGGCCACGAGTAATAATCCTAAGGCCAAAAAAATTCTGGAAACCACTTCTTAGTCGGAGTAGGACCTGGGTAGGAGATAAGCCGTGTAGGTTCGAATCGTAGACTTGCGAAGCGCGCTCACGACGCTTCGGTTTGGCGAATGAATACTTAGGATTTACATCTCTTTGTCGCAAAATATGACTCCTCGAAAAGGCGCAAAGGCGAAAAAGCCAGACAAAGATAGCGACAATGAGTCAGAAATGTCTTCACCGTCGGAGACTACACGCGATTGTGCCAAAGATGTCCACATGTCTAAGTCGAATGATTTGCCAAAAGTGAACCGCAAAGTGTTTGGCCGGCTAATAGTTTTTGGAGGAATCTTACTCATTACATTTGCAACCCGACTTTATGCATTAGAAGACCCACCTCATATATGGTAAGAGAGTTAAGAATTATAACGTTCAGTAATTTCCGATTGATTTGTTATTATGTTCAATATTTCCAGTTGTACTACTACGGAAATATTGCTTTTATTGTATAGTTTCGTTCTGAATGACGCCCAGTGTGAGGTGTCTCACTGCCTTGTAACGGACTAAATTTAACGTGGAAACTTAAGAATTTAGGGACTTGTAGAAATTATTGACCACTCAAGGGGCTGGATTGCCGCTCCTTAATTACGGTTGTGTAGCAACTGTTGACGCCATTTTAAAACAAATAACTGAGTGCCAAGATATTCCTCGATTCCTTTGGGGATTTTTCAACCGTAACAGTCAATTTATTTTAAGTTGAATTACAACAACAAATTGTGTACGTATAGTTCATAACTATGCCTTTCTATCATTTTTTATTGCACTCTGATCAAATTCAAGTTACCGGCTTTCATTACGAGCTTGAAACGAATATTGCATGAATCGGTATTCCAGTAAGCAATTCTTGAGTGAATCGAGCAATTCTTGAGTGAATCTTTGATAACTCATTAATTTTTGGACGGTAATTGTTTATTAACCCCCAGAAGATTTTGGTTGTTTTAAATTTTCTGCTCTTAGCAAGAATTTCGAATTTACTCTCCTCCATTAATTAAAGCCACCTGTGTTTTCACTCTTTGTTGTTCAGTGACTGTGCAAGATTGTTACAGCTGTTTGTGTATCTTCCTACTGGTGCTTAAACAAACGCGTTACACCCACATTTTTAAGGTGGCTCCATAGGGTTTTTTGACTGCGTGAGATCTGGATACTAACATAGCTTGAGCTTAAAACCTGGCAATCCAATATGATTGTATGATTGTTACCTGAAAAGGTGTTTAAAAACAGTTCAACACCATACAGTTGTTATGTGATGGAATCAAGGGTTACCACCTGTAGTATTCATAGTCCTTCTACGCCTGAAGGTCAACTGGAAAGAAAACACTGTAAGAGAGATTGCCAAAAGGCAACAGATTTGAAAGTCTACACATGCTCAGATACCAATCTTGGCAAAGCACTATTCCATTGTGTAATGCTTTGTGATAAAGAAAATTGGGATCAATGGCTTTTCCTTTGGTGAAATTTCACAAGATTTGCTGGACCATTAAACATATTTTTGTCTTTCCTAGTATCTGTTGATTAAAAAAAATTAATGGGACCAAATTTAAGATAGAGGAAGGAAACACAGAATTGCAAATAGTCAGAAGACTACCTTTGTAACCTCCTATTTTTTTGGCTTTTAAATAATTGGCAGGACAAATTGGGAAAATTTTGAGAGGTTTCACGGAAGAAAATTGAAGAAAATGGGAGGCAAAGCCAAACTATTGCTCACAATCGCCTCCCTTTGTGGAGCCTTAGCTTAGTAATGAAAATCATTTTCTTAATATTCACCACAGCAAACGATAGTCTGAACCTTGCTCATCACCTTCTGATGGCTTTTAATGACCTAGAAAAGTGAAAACATAAAAAAATTTTCTAGAAAAACAGTACACTGGTGTGCATGCGAACATTGAGCAAAAACCCTATGGAGCCACCTTAGATACTACTCAAGCTATTGCAGTATGTAAATTGACAAATGTTTAGTGATCTTGCTTTTTCTTGTAAAATTTTTTTGTCTGTTTGTTTGTTTTCTGGAGAGGGGGAGGTGGGAGAGGGGGGTTTAAGGTTGAGAAAGAAAAATGAGAAGTTTTTCCTCAAAAAGTTGCCTTGTCTTAAAATGGGCATACAAGTCTTTGTACAAATAGGCTCTTTAGGGAAGTGGTCATAAGGGGAAAATTTGCCAGTATAGATCTTTAAGCTTTTAACTCCCATTTTATTTCTCCTTAAAATACTTCTACAACATCAACCAGATAAGTAATGAGAATAAAGAAAAATAACAATTTGGGGATAATTAGCTGATCCAATGCTAAATTCTCTGAACTAACATTAAAAGAATTGTATGGTTGACAGTAAGGAGAATTACAAATTTGATCTGGGAGTTTGGGTTAAACATGGATAATTTGAGAACCTTAGGCTATTTTTGTCAAGGTCTCTTTCTTCTATAATTTATGCATTTAATTACAAAAACATAGACAGCCAAAAACTGTTTGCTTTGAATGATATTGTGGGTATGCATGTCGGATGACCACAATTGAATGTATATGGTGAAGTGATTAACTTGTCTGAAGTTTTCCTGGAGAGAAAGATTTATTGCAAAAATATTTCATTGAAACTTGGCAAACACTATAGCCCTTGTTGCCTGCCACTACTACAGTAGTCTTGTTTCAAAGACTATCTTACTGTGCTGTTGTGAGACCAGGCCTACCGGAGGTTATTGCATTTAATTTGGTGGGTGTCTATTTAGCAGTAGCTACATCACAGCTGCAACTGTAATTCTATTCTCCCAATATTTTCTAAGATAGCAGTCACTCAAGTGAGATCTACAGCTTTTTTGAATGTGATTGTTGCCAAACTCAGCAACTGAAGGAGTTTGGAATCTGCGAGTCACTTTATATTGACTGATAATCCTTAAAATTTTTAGAGCTGGAAAATTCTAATGCACTTATTTAAAAGAGCATGCATAGTTATTTTCATTCCTTTAGTTGCTGAGATATATTTTCTTAGATACTTCTCTCAGTCCTTTATTTATAACCCCCATAGATTTATGAAGATTTCAATAGTTGTCTTCCATGTCCACAAACCCATTGAGCAGAATTAAAAATATGAAATTGTTTTAACTTCTTCTTGATGTTCTTGATATTGTAGTTGGGATGAAACTCATTTTGGCAAACATGCTAATTACTACCTCAAAGGAGAATTCTTTTTTGATGTTCACCCACCATTAGCAAAGGTAAGCATTTATAACAATTTGATTGTCATCACTAGGGTTTTTTTATACTGTTAATCTTGGGTGTAAATGTTCTTTTTTAAGCAAAATTTTCAGATTACTCTGTTTTTTTGTCTCAGTCTATAAAATGGTTCATGAAAATGAACAAATTGTAAACAAATAATTATCTTAAATTTAGAATTGTAGTGAAGTATTCAATTCAATTAAAAGTAATTTATGAGGTATTAATTGAATGAAATTATGAATGGATGGATGAATGAATAAATGAATGGTTAACTGAGAGAATGGTCAATTAATTAAGTAAAGAGTAAAAGCCAAACAGAACAATCTAAAAACACTCTGACATGATTATATTTTACATTTTATCCTCCTAAATAAGTCTGTTAATTTTTTTTTCTTGAAACAGATGTCAATTGCCTTGGCTGGATATCTTAGTGGCTATAATGGTTCATTCCCGTTTGATAAACCTGGTGATAATTATGGAGAGAACAGCTATGTAGGGATGAGATTGGTGAGATGTTATATAATTATATATTTTTGTTGCACAGTAATTAACCTGTTTGTATTTATTATATAGTTTTAATTAATTGTTTAACATTTTTCTAAGGGGTCAGCTATGAACTATTCCTGTTTTTGTCTTAGTTAAGCATGGCAAGAGTCTGTTTTCAACTTGTCTGAAATGTAATTTGTGACTGATGTTTTTTAGGAGAAATATGCTATCAATTGCATCTACTGTACCCTTCCGCACATGAGATTAAAATAATTATGTTCCATTGGCCCATCAAACCCCTTTGTTGCAAGAGAAAAACTGAAAAGTTTTCTGTCCACCACTGGCACTTGTTTTTGACTGTGTTTGATACCATCTTTGCATCAATGCTCAACATTCTTCTAACCCCTGTGAACAAATGGAGCTGTGCAGATCTGTCACTTGATTTTGTAAAACAGCGGAGAGTAGTATGCTACACTTGAAATTTCTGCCTTGTTTGTTGACTGGAAAAGCCACTGATGACCACCACCAACAAGTACAAAAACCTCCTCTGAAGTGTAGGCAAGGCAAAAGCTTCACCTGAATGGGAAAAAAATTGGAAGTTTTGCTGTTAAAATATTGAAGTTTGATAGCTTAACAGAACATTTTTATCACATGCATGGAATGACACACGTAGATGGAATCAACAATATTTATATTCAATTTATTTTAAACCTTTGATCTCCTTTTTGAGCATAGTAACACACAGTATATGTTATGTCCAGAATACTTTGTAATGTCATCATGGAAGCTGTTAAGTCATGTCAAGCATTACATGTTAGATTGTCGTTCTCTCTTTGTGTTTTAATTTTGTGCAATATTGAAGCTGTATTGAATTATCTCAACCATTATTGTTGTTCTTTCTTTTTTGTGTGTTTTAGTTTTGTGCAATATTGGGTGCCCTGTGTGTACCACTTGCTTATCTTACTGTGTGGGAGCTCACCAAGTCAACAGGCGCTTCCCTTCTGAGCACAGCATTCATAGTCTTTGGTAAGTTGAATAAATCATTTAGAAGTTATATAACCCTCTAACTCCCATGAGTGACCAGGACAGAATTTCTCCTAACAATATCAAGCAAATAAGTGATAAGAATGAAGAAAAATATCAATTAGGGGATATTGATCTAATACCAAATTCTCCAAACTAACATTGCCATAAATTAGTATAGTTACGAACATACTGACAAGGAGAATTTGTTTTTGATCAAGTGCCTTGTAAATGGGTGATTATTTCCTTTCTTCTCATTGCCTGTACATCTGATTAAAGGTTGGTAGAGTAAGTAAAAGTTAGATGCTAGTCATTCCCAGGGGTTATAGGGTTAACCCTTTAAACTCCCAAGATCTCATCAATAATTCTCTCTACTGTCTGCCATACAGTTCTTGTGGTGTTAGTTTGGAGAATTTGGTATTGGATCAACTTATAATTCCTCAATCAATATTTTTCTTTGTTCTCATCACTTGTCTGCTTGATATTGTATTGATATTGTAAAGAGAAATTCAGTCTGTCTTGGTCACTCACGGGAGTTAAAGGCTTAAGGCTGTTGGCTTCTTGCTATTGTGGTAACTCCCAGTGTTTTTATTGAGAACAACTTCGTTGTTTGGTATATTTTCCTTACAGTATCCTCCCCCTTTAATTTTGATGTACTATGAAACTAAAGAATAGAGTAGACCTCCTTCATCTTTTGCCTTTTACAACCCACTGACTTTTTATTTTGAAAAGGAACTGTTATGCCCTTATGTTCTCATTTTGCATTGCAGATCATGGATGCCTTACAATATCACAGTACATTTTACTGGATCCAGTTCTAATGTTTTATATCATGTTATCAACTTATTCCTTTACCAAGTTTCAAAACTGCAAAAATGTGTAAGTACCTCATCTGCTATCCACTCATTGCTGTTTAATGTCAGAAAAAAATGCAACACTGGTTATGGGGAGATTAGGTCCATTTGAGTATGCTCTACCAGACTATGGCACCCCACAATGTGATTGAAATCTTTCAAAAATGTTCTGCTTAGTTTGTTTTAAGCATGACAAGTAAAATAAATATTCAAACCACCAGAGCAATCCTTTTAACTGTTGAATTTTTGAGAATTCCAAGTGATTTTAGGCAATGATATGAGGTGCTACAGGTGGGAAATTTCACTGGTTACCGCCTAAAAGGAAGGATATTGTCAAATGTTTTATTGCCGTTGTAGATATTGGGTGTCTCACTACGTGTATGTTGTAATGCTATCAATGGTTAACTTCATGTTTGTTTCTTTTTCTATACAAGTCCTTACACCTTTGAGTGGTGGGCTTGGATGGCAGCATCTGGTGTATTTTTGTCTTGTGCATTTAGGTGAGTGAGTGACTGAAACTGCTTAACTTACATATTGATTATGTTTCATCTGCCTCTCCTTTAAATGTTGGCCAACAAGTACCTTGTGGGTTACACCATCAAGTGTTTGTAGGGTAGTGTAGCTATTTGTTAGCACTCGGGTAATATCTGTAAAGTTATGTACTAAGCAAATGCCATCTTTCTGTCTTATTCTTTTTCGGAAGTTTAACTTGTCATACAATGGTTTTCTGTAGAAAGTGGTCTGTCTTTTCTTAATTAAATTTAAAACTGAGTGGAATTGTATATTTAGTTGTTGTCATCTGAATTGGTGAACGTTTGCCCTCACAAAATGATTTTAATTTTCCCAGTACCCCTATGTGTAGTTTGATCTCTAAGTTAACAGTATTTCAGGGATTTTTTCATTTTGAATGTTTATTTATTTCATTTTAATTTTTTACAAAAATATTATTGTGTTTTCCTTCCCTCAGCTGCAAGTGGGTTGGTTTGTTTGTGATTCTGTGGGCTGGTATTACAACAGTTTTAAATCTTTGGGATCTTTTAGGAGATCTGTCTTTGTCTCTGGTTAGTATCATTGCCTGTTTATTATATCAGAATATTAATAAATAAATTTGTCATTATTTGGTTTGATTTGAATGTTGATAAAAATTTATCTGATCTCCATGATTCAAATTTGCTATGGTGCAAAGGAGGTGTGTCAAAATGAGGAAATTAAGTGATGAAGTTATTTGCTATGTCAAGAGCACAGGATGAAGAAAAGAGTAGCGGCCATTTCGAGAAATTGAACCTTAGATCTACAAATAACTTGCTGGTTGGCTGGGCCACAAAAGAGGTTTTTGTGTGACAAGTGTCCTGCATGATGTTCAGCGATGTGAAAGTGTTGTATGTGTTATTACATGTAGCATAACATGTTATTGTTATATTTACAATGTCTTTTTACTTTGTTCCAGTTTGAGATTGGTAAACACTTTATGGCTCGAGTGCTTTGTTTGATTATGATCCCCATCTTTGTGTACCTCTTTTGGTTTGCTGTTCATTTCAAGATGCTGCCAAAAACGTAAGAACTTGTTGCATATTATTTAATATTTACCCTACATTTAGTTATTAAAGTCACATTTCCTTGAACTTACATATGCCTGCCTTGTTAATGAGGGGTCTTCTCCGTTCAAGTCATTTTGATATAGGGACTGGAAAAATTTTTAGAGAAACCATGTCTAAAGATCATTTTGTTGTTTTTGTGTTAATTTTTTTGCCAACTGAAGGTATTCAGTTTTGATTTATTCATTAAGATTGGGTGGCAGTCATTGAGTTTGATCACTGATAAGATCTTTACATGGAAAACTTGTTTAATAAAGTGTACTTTGTTTACTTCCTCCCCTGCATAACATGCAATCTATTTTATGTGAAAATTCAAGGGGGGTTCTTTGTATAGAGGGAAAAGTACACACCAGCAAAGTTAAGGAGGACTGCTATGGATGCAATGGGTCTTTTTGTTATTAATAGCACTTTCTCTTTCTTTGCTAAGTGGAACTTCAGCAGTGATTGTTCACCAATCCCTAGCAGTAGGGGAGAGTCTGTAGCGGGCTTCACTCGTAGTTTATACTGCTTATTTGACCTAACTAGTGATTGTAAAGAGTATCTCAATGAACATGCTGGGTGAGCTTCTCTCCTAGGAAGTCATATTTGGTAAGAAAAAAGTGTAAAAGAACTTAATGAAAATGGTTAATAATATGTGTTTAGTATGTACTAATTGTTTTTCTTTGATTTAGTGGGCCAGGTGATGGATTTTTCAGTTCTGCCTTTCAGTCAACTCTACAAGGAAATGTTCTTTACAAGAATGTGGTACCTGCAGGTATATGAATTACATAACTGAATGTATAGACTGGCTGAAGTGTTTATTTTGAAGTTCCAAAGTTTTGCTCCATAATGAATTAGCCACAGAGGAAGTTTCTCTTGTAATGGTTTCTTTGATTTAAGCTAAAGTTTTTCAGAAAGTATTCTACCTGGTAATTGATGTTCAAGTGTAATACTTCAGACTGATATTTTCAATTAACTCCTTTTTTTCTACAGACCTTGCTTTTGGTTCAATTGTTACACTCAAAAACACTCGTGCAGGAGGAGCTCTTTTACATTCACATCATCATCTTTACCCCAAAGAACATCCTCCTGAGCAGCAACAGGTCAGTATGTTTTAATATGAATTTCTCTTAAACTAGTGGCTGTGTTGGCACAATTGTTTTAATTTAGAGGCCCCCATTTGTGTCTTCTTGATGGCCCTTTTTTAAAATGTCCATACCAATAACAGCATGTGAATGTGTTCCTCGCTGTGACAAATTCCAGTCCTTGCATACAAGAAATTGTTTTGACAAGTCTCAGTTAATGTCTTTATAAGTTCCCTGTTGATGTCTGTTGGAGAGGCATTGTATGAATTTTGGGAACTGTGTTGAAATTGTCTACTTCAAGTTTGGATAGATGGGAATAAAATGGGAATGGAAAAGGGAATTGCTACACAGTCGCTGGATTGGGTCTTTCCCTTTTGGTATAAAAGGTCTGATAAGAAAATTAATCATCACAGTTTCCACTGGATGACTTACCGGTAATGAAGACACATTTCATTCATCATAATTAAAATGTTCTTTTCACAGATTACTTGCTACTCTCACAAAGATGACAACAATAAATGGTTGGTGAAAAAGGCCTATGAAGATTACAGTAAGTTTATGGCTGAGATCTCTCATTCATCTTTACACCCTAACATCAGTTTGTAAGTTCTCCATACTAATCTCTATACATTTCCTATGATGCTCACAAGGAGAATTTGCTTAATAATCAAGAGCTTCTCGACTTCATGACCATTTCCTTTATTCTCATGACCTTAACATTTGATTCAGGGTTGGTACTGTTGGGAGAAATTAGATGTGTATCACTTTAAGGGGTTAAAGGATTCATTGCATTTTTAAATACTAACTCCAGCCTATAACTATTTTTATGTACACCGCCTTACAGATGACCAGCAACCTATTGAATACCTCAAGAATGGAGACTGGATCAGGCTGGAGCATATTGGGTATGTTCAACAATTATTTTTATTATTTTAACCCTCTACGCCCTAACCTTAGCAGGTATATTCTCCATACTGTTCTCTATACATTTCCTATGGCACTGACAAGGAGAATCTAGATACAAATAAATAGCTTTTCAAGTTTGTGATCATTTCCTTAAATCTCATGGGCCTCATGTTTGATTCAGCAACGATACCTTAGGGAGATATTAGATGCTAGTTACCCTCAGGGTCAAGTGTGAGTGTTCATCGCAAGAATATAGGAATAAAATCCTTGTTGCAGTGTAACTCTTCAGTGATAGCTCAGAGATGATGTCAAAATGTGGTAACAACATCGGTGATATCTACACTCTTTTGCACCTTATGTGCCACTTTTTTGTTCTTATCATATTTTGACGTCATCTGTGATCTATTACCAAACAGATGCTTTCCATGTTCATGTAACATGTGTAAACAATAACTTGCTAACTTTGTTCCAGAACCAAGAGAAATCTTCACAGTCATCAAGAAAAAGCTCCACTCACCACTCATCATAATCAAGTAACAGGTTATGGAGATGTGAGTATTGGCAGTTATAAAAGAACTTATGACAGAGTTTTAGTCTATCAATAATCAATATATGGAATTTTCTGATAGACCCTTTAACTCCCAAGATGTGATTGTTAATTCTCCCCTCTAGCTGCTACTCATTTCCTTATAAATGTGTTACAAGAATTTGGTGTTAGATCAAGAGAACAACCTCTTCTGGATAACTTTGAGTATTCTCATTGCCGTTTTGCTGGAGAATGTTTAGATATATTTTAGGCAGAAGTTATGTTTAATCACCTCTGGGAGTCAAGCAGTTAAGTGGTACAGTTAATGTGGCTGGAATGTTGTCCAAATTGTGGTGTGTTGTAGTGCAAATGAGGTTTCAGTCTCTGAGATTATTTTTGAATTGACACATGAAGGGTCTCAGTGTTTTTCTAAAGTAAGCACAAACACTATTTCTGTCACCATAAGTGGTTCCTTATTTTCAATCAAAAGCTTATTTTACAAGCATTTGAATCAACTTAATTCTTCTAGAATGGGAAAGGAGATGCTAATGATTTTTGGCGTCTTGAAGTTGTGAGTGGTGAAGGTGAAGATGGACGAATTAAGACTGTGAAGACAGTTTTCAGACTTGTTCATGTCAACTTGGGCTGTGCTCTTCATGGAAGTACCCAGGTCCTACCAAAATGGTGAGTGGTGAATGCTGATATTTCCAGCTTGATGAAGGGATTGATCAAAAGAGAAATTCTTGTGCCTTTTTATTTGTAACTGTCTGCTTGAATGCTGGTGATCTGTTCTTCTTTTTACACATGTCAGTGAGTTAGTCAGTTAGTCTTTTAATCAATTCTGTCAGTTTCCAGTCAGTTGGACAGTCAGTCATTCAACAGTTGCTCAGTAAGTCAGCATTTAAGTTGTCTGATTTCTGAGGCTTGGGTGATCTTCAAGAAAATAAGGATGTCAAAAGTAATGATAATGCCAGGAGTTAAAATTGAGTCTAGGAATGCAAATAATAATAATAGTTATAATAATAATAATAATGATGATGATGATGATGATGATGATGATAATAATAATCAAACAATGTACAATAACCTGTGTGTAGCCATTATCAGACTAGTCCTCTCTGTATTTTATGTTATTGAGGATAGCTAGTCTTCGCTTAAAAATTAAATTTCAGTTTAGAAGTTTTGTAAATGTTAGTTTGTTCAGCAACAGTTTTAATTTTTTTTCCAGGGGATGGGAGCAGCTTGAGGTCACTTGCAATCCCATTGTACATCATTCACATAACCTTTGGAATGTTGAGGGTCATGAAAATGAAAGAGGTGAAAAATAAAAGCAACAATGTGTTAATTATTTATTTTGGCAGTGTCCTTCAAAAGCACCAGCAAGCAGCATTTTTTTCTGGAGTGCTGGCCAATTTGATTAGACATTGTATCATTGAAAAAAAAATTGATATGCCTGTTTCAATGCAAAATAAAAATTAACACTTGCTGGCTGATGTTCATTAGGCTGGCTACTTGACAATTATAATTATATTTGGCAGTGTCCTCCAAAAGCATCAGTGAGTGGCATATTTTCTGGCCACTCATTTCTGAAGTGCTGGCCAATTTAAATAGACAAATGAAGGAACATGCCTGTTTTAGTCTGATAGAAATTTTAATCTTTGTCAGCTGATGTTAAGTATGGTTGGCTATTTTGGAGAAACTGTTATGGACAAGAAAAGTCATCATGCACTTTGAAATAATCAACAGATAAACAATTTTCTCACAATAACCGATGCTTTCTCTGGTTTTAAGACATTATTTTACATGTAAATAATTATAGTCATTTTCATTGCTTATTTACACCAATCTCTTACACATGGCAATTCCATTCATGTCACAGCAGATTTCTCTTTGTTTTTGTGTTCATGGCTGTGTATGAGGTGTCATTACCTAACTGAGGGAACCAGGGAGGGGTTCAATCATCTCATTCATGATAAAAATAATTATTTTATTATTTGTTTTCTGTTTTCTTTAATTTGTAAATTACCAGCTCAGATAAATATTTTATTTCTTAGCCCATCTGATGTAATAAACTGTTATTGAATGTTTCTTTTTTCTGTACATTTAGTTCCAAAATCTGCATCAGACTTTTATAAGCCTTCATTTCTTGGTAGTGTCTATGAATCACATGTTGTCATGGCTCAGGTATGGTGTTACAATTGACATTCAATTATTATGTTGTACCAGAAAGTGCACCAAACCTTTGGAATAACTCTTTTAGGCTAGCAGTGTAAATCTAGGTAGTAGATAATTGTCTGGAAAACAAGAGGAAACTAGTTGTGAACTAGTGTTAAACATACCGTATTTATTCGCCTATAAGCCGAGCGATTTTTCCAACAAATTAAACTGAGAACAGGTAAATTATCGCCAAGGTAGGGGGTTCGGCTTATAGCCGAGTATTTTCGCCAAAAAAAATTTACGGGTGCTTAACAAGATTCGAAATTTGACAACATGAAAAACTGGCCAATCAGAAGCGGTCATTCCCACGGTTGGTGTAAACATTGCAACACGATCTGACACATATCAGCTGATCGAAGCTTTTCATTGTTTTAAAGAAACGAAAGACTTACCTTGACTCCTCTGCTCTGAAAACCAGTCCAGTAGTGTTTGACGACGCACCATCGATTCACTGATTCCGTAATCTCTAGCGATCTAGAATGATCTATGTTTATTCATAACCTACTTTTTGGTTGCATGTTTCCCGAGAGGGAAGCTCCTTTTGTTTTCGGTTTATGTTAATTCATCTCAGTTAACGACGCGCGTGGAGTACTTTGCAATTATTAGGTCTCGGCTTATAGCCGAATGTTTTGTGTTTATTTTTTATTTCAATGCAACAGCTGCTGACATGAAAAAGTTTAGGGTCTCGGCTTATAGCCGAGATCGGCTTATAGGCGAATAAATACGGTAGCTTTACTTTTCTATCATGTTGAGCCCTGAACATTCTCAGGCAGTCAAGGCCATTTAAGGCTTATCTTCCTTTCTGGAATTTTACAATGCCTCTTCTTGCATATGTACTTTAATTTATTTTTTAATGCCAAAGTAACTTTTGTTCAAAAGAAATTGTGTACACTTATTCATTTTGCTTCATAGCTTCTAAGTTTTTATTCTTTTGTTCAAGAGATATTTCATCCTGCTTATTATTCTTTGTTTACAGACCAACTCTGGATTCAAACCAAAGGAAGGGGAAGTGACGTCACAACCCTGGCAGTGGCCAATTAACTACCGGGTTAGATAAATAGATTGAAAAGAAGATGTTACATTTTTTAATTTTACTACCAAGCTAAAATCTTACCACCATTCTTATCCTATAATTACTCACATGATGCTTTTGACATTGCTGATCTTATCACCTATGTAGAAGGTGTGTCACTAGACTATGAGTAGCCCCTCATTTTCAGCAGAGTGTGTGGTGAGAATAAAAAAGATCTGTTGAAAAAATAATTGATGTCAATTTGCCCTATGGAATTATTGCTAAGTCTGTAGTGCCTTCTTTTGTGAGCCTTATCTCAATTTTTAGTGTGGTACACTAACATCAATGTATGTTTGCACTGATTTTCTTTTTACTTGCGGGACAGACTTTGCTGAAAACCAGGAACTGCTCGTAATCTAGCATGTTGCATGAATTGTCAGGGAAGCCTGATGAAACGCAGGGAGGGGGTGGTGTAGCCTAGCGATGGACTGCCATTCCAATCCTGAGGGGAGTTGTTATACTTCTAGTTGCTTCATGCTATGGAAACCGGGATAAGCTCCAGCTGGATAGGCCACTTGGCTTGAGTACAGACTTGGTACTGGGGCATATTTTATGAAAAAAATGAATTTAGTATCATAGGAAATATGTAGGGATACAACAATAAAGAGATTCTGCCTTCTGATGTTAGGGTGTGAATGGTTACAAATTACTCACTTTTCAATATTTCATTTTGCAGGGTCAGGTATTTTCTGGTGCAGATTATCGTGTCTATCTCCTTGGCAATCCAGTGAGTTTTTGTTTTACTTTTAAAAAACACACTTAAGACATGTAACTTGCACTTTGATGGGACAAATTAAAGTAATTAAATAAATGTGATTCACTTAGTCATTCTTTTCCTCCACAATGCTGTCAGGTTATTTGGTGGTACATATTGGGAATTATGTGCTTGTTTGGCCTGCTGTATTGTTTCCATGCTGTAAGAACACAAAGAGGCTTCATTGATCCACCTGTAGAACAAGGTACAAGCTTCTCCCTTGCTACTCCTAAGCTATGTGTTTTCACCTTCTTAAAATAGGTTTTGCAGTGTTAATTTAAATTCTTTGTCTTGGCCAGTTCTGGATCTCTCTCTGAGTAAAACTGTAGAATTTAGCATTGTTTTATACATTGAAATAGTTCTATGATCATGTTATGTATTACCAATATACCCGTTTTGGCTATTGTTTATAAATGTTCTTGTAGGTTGGGTTATCTTTTAATGAACTTGCATTTAATCTAGGGGAACAAGAAGTGTGTGTAGTTGCTTTATGTTACAGAAACTAGAGATAAGCATTGGCAGTTATGTACCTCTTGGCATCTTAAACTTTTAACTCCCAAGATCTGATTTTTAATTCTCCCCTCTAGCTGCTACACATTTTCTTGTAAATTAGTTTCAAGAATTTGGGATCAGATCAAGATAACAACTTCTACCTGATAGTTTGTATTCTCATTACCTGTTTGGTGGATAATGTTTTGATATTACAGGGAGAAGTTGCATGTTAATCACTTCTGTGAGTTACAGGGTTACAATTATAGTGTGTACATTCATACACTTTGGTTCTAATTTTACAGTCAAAGAAAAATAATTACTATTTCAGGTGTTGGGTCACTTTAGGGATCAAGATGTATAAATTGTCTCTCTTATCTCTATTTTCAGCTCGTAGGAAAAGAATGGAGTCAGCCTCTGGTTGGTTGTTCCTTGGTTGGGCCTTGCATTATTTTCCCTTTTATGCCATGGGTCGAGTGTTGTACTTCCATCACTATTTTCCTGCTTATCTCTACAGTGCCATGATGGCTGGTTAGTTATAAACTAGATACTTCATCATGACTGTGAAGTGTTTATTGAGTTTCAGGCTGATTAAAGAATGCTGTACTGTGATAAATGCAAGACATCTGTCTGTGGGATTTGTTTAATAGTGTATGAAAAAATTTCCCCTGGTAATTGTTTGCTATTTGGCAATGTTTTGGTATACAAACACAGTGATCTTGACTAGCCCAGTTGCATGAGCCTTTTTAAACCTATCATTGGCTTGATTTGCTCAGCAACTTGAACTATCTGATGGGTGAAACTGCTTGTAGTACCAATTATAGCTTGTCTACTGGCTTAAGAATTGACTTCTAAAGAACAATTTAGGACAACATGGAGGATCCATTTTCTTTGGTTCATTTTATCCAGTATGTTTTATTTAGTGAAAGTAAGTTTACTGTTTGATTTTCAGGTATAGTGAGCCAATATTTGTGTAAATCAGTAGCTATGCTTCCCAAGCTTGAAAAGTTTAAAGAGATGGTTTACTACAGTACTATATGCTTGCTTCTGGCTGGATGTATCATCAGGTAGTTTAACCTTTAAATTACACTCTAAAATCAGCATGCATATTCTCCATACTGTGCTGAAAAGGAGAAGTTTTTCAACAATCAGGAGCCTGCTTAGTTGGTGATCATTTCCTTTATTCTCATGACCTTAATGTGTGATTCAGAGGTGACATATATTGTAATTAGAAATAAGATGCTATTCTCTGTTAAGGGCCAAAGGGTGAACAGTCCAATCTTGCATGAGACAGGAGTTTTGTCTCACCTCGAGTCTGTTGAAGATACCACTTAGTTAATTGTTAAAAAAGTTGCAACTGATAGTGACTTAAATGCACAAGGATAGACTGGATATTTAATATGTGATGGACAGACAGATGTAAAATCTGATGTAAGATCTGTAATGGATGTGAGTTCACTGAGGGGCCTTACATCAATTGCTTATTGCATTGGAGAGATCTTCAAACTGCCACAGCTTAATCTGGGCAGGATCCTAGGGCAATCATAGCAAGATCTTGGTGTATTCTTGGTGTGATTCCTGTTTGGCTGATTTGGTATTGGTCCTGGGTTGGGCTGTTGCATAACACGATGCAACAACATTTTGAAGTGCTACTCTGAGGGTTGGCCATGATTACACCATTAACTCCACCTTCACAAGTGACAATGTGTACTGTGTAATAAAACTAAAACATCATTAATAACTTCATTTCCTTCCTTGACAGTTTCTGGTTATTCCGAGGACTCTCCTATGGCATGTCTGGCCCCATGGCTCATCTTCCTGACTCAACTGCTGCAGTCTACAAGTGGATGGACAGCTGGGAGGTGTAGCATGTTGCAAGAGACCAACTATTTATACCACAAGGATGCAACAAATGATCCAATTGTATATACATTTGGGATATAATTTATCTTGTGTGTATAGACCTTATTTTTTACAAGACCTATGCCTTTCAAATTCTTTAGGTAGATAGGAAAGGAAATTTTAGAAAGTACAGTTTTGCAAGGACGTGAAAATGCCAAACACTGATTGTTTGGATCAAAGGAATGGAGGAAGAGGGAGAGGTGGATGGAGGGGGGGGGGAGGGATGAAAAGGTATTTATTGTGATGATAACTGGAATAAATTAGACCTTTCAGCACATTTCACATCAAAAAAATATTTTTCTTCTTTATGGCATTGATACCCATGAACCAAACCCCTTTGTTCTAGAAATAGTATAATTTATTGTGATGATAACTAGAATAAATAGGACCTTTCAGCACATTTCACTCAGAGAAAAATATTTTTCTTATCTATGTGATATTGATATCCACCAACCAAACCAGTCTGTTCTGGGAAAAGTGCTTTTTTTTAAGTCAGTGAAGTGGGAATCTTAGGTATTCTTATCTCTTCTGGAGAATTTGGTAGTGAAGAGGTGAAGGTGATTATGACTGTTAGTTCATGATGTTGATTATGCTGATGATGGTGATATAATGACAATGCAACAACCACCACAACAAATTTACTGTGTTGACCAGTATAACACATTTAAAAGTTTTTTATTCACCATTTGTACATATTCATTCAAGTATTACCAAATTTGGGAAATGCATGACTGTCATGTATTACCTGAGGTCAGACAGGTTCAAATTTTCAAGGTATTTTTACCGAAAACAAAAATAACATGTGAAAATTCAATTTAGTAGGAAATATGTTATCAATGAGGTGCATCAGGGTAAATTAAGGGACAAACAATTCAGGACAAATCACTAGTCTACAGTTTGCCTCTATTATTACTTTGTAAGAGCTCGCATTTACTAGTAATGATTACCATTTATTAAATTGTCATGTAAGAATAAAAATAAAAGAAGTTTAATGTACTGAATGGCAATCCTGAGTATTATTTCTACATCTTGTTAAAAACAGTTTTTAATTTTAAAAGGGGTTTAGTTTTCTGTTCATTACCCTTTTACTTAAAAAACTAATCTATGAAAAATGAGAGCATTGAAGAATTGCACTCAATTTTTTTGCAAGAAGACTTACGTAACGTGTAGCCAACCAATTTATTATGAGTAAAGATATAAACTCTGGGATCTCTGTCTATATATAGCCAAGCCTGTTCATTAATCATTAAATTTCTGGAAGTGGATGATATGAAACTTTTCTTTACTATGATTCAATAAGTTATGGTATCGTTGATTGTGTGATTAGAGGGCTACAACCAAAACATCAATTGCATTCCCCCACAAGGTCATTGTAATAATATGTATAATTTAGCATATTTCTAAGCCTACTTGGGTTGCCTGTGATACAAATGTTGTCTACTAAGTGGTAGTAGAAAGTTAAAAGAAAAAGTAATTCAAATTTTAGTAGTCATGGTCGATATGTCGATGCTTCCCTTGTTGAATGGCACAGACTCACTAGAGAAAAATCTCTTCAATTGAGAGCAAACCTTGAGGTTTATAAGGATATGGCAGTTTTCCAAAAGTATTTTGTCTCTCAATCACACCAAGCTTTTTAAGAATTTGATCAATGGTCTTTAAATCGTCAGGGTGAACATGAATGCAACCATCACTATCAATGAAAAAACATGCAAAATTAATTTACAATTAATAATTTTTTAAAAGAGCTAAGAAATCTCCATTTAGTAGATCAAAACTTCGGGTAGTTGTTGAGCTTGTAATCTTGTATATAATTTCAAACAAATGAAGGGTCTCTTTTTCTTTGGATAATTATTGATCGCCATTAGTCTGGAGCAATTTTCACCAATTGTCCAAAGTAATCTAGGGCTACAATGCCTTATGGGTGCTTTACTTTATGATTGAGTGTTGTAAAACCAAGACCAAAGTTATCACAATGGCCAATCAGAAGAGAGGAAAATACCTCTAACCCTTTAAACCCTTAGAGTGACTAGAATCCAAATTCTCCTTACGATATCACTCCTGAATCACACATTATGGTAACAAGAATAAAGAGAATGATCACCAACTAAAGAAACTCCTGATTGTGAAATAAATTCTCCTTGTTAACACCTTGGGAAACGTATGGAGAAGAGTATGGAGAATATGCATATTGGTGTTAGGGTGTGAAGGGTTGAGAGTCAACAAAACTTGCAGTAAACACAACCACATTATGTAAAGGGCAGGAAAATGGGGGGGTGATCATGACCAAGTTGTGATTGAGTTTAGTTTTGCATCTGAGTGGACCAGTCACAATGGGAAGGAAGGAAATCTCAGATTTCTTCCAACACCCAGTGGAAAAATGCTCTTCTTCATTTAGCTCCTTGATCAGCTGAGACAGTTTGGACCACTCTCCTGACTAATTAGATGCAAGACTAGAACCAATTGGGACTTAGTCTCTTCTGCTTTCCTGCAATTAAGGCCCATGTTCATTTTGAGTTCCCATTGCCTCCTTGACAAATTTGCTTTGCTCAGATTGGCCATTGTGATTACAATGATTATGTGGTTTCAGTTCAACAACACTCGACTGAAAAGGACTCATTAATTGATGTTGTACTTTCTACTATCATAGCCTGTTCCAGGTGATCAGTTAGTAAAAATGAAGCTCAATAATGTTGCTGAGGAATGAAAAACATGAGGGAGGCTAAACTGACCCAAACCTCTCTTGCTTTTTCACTCCACTTCTATTGTACCATTTGCCATTATATTCCACTTAACTGACTGAATACCTGGAACATGCTATTTCTATAAGTATCAGCCAATTTGCTCAACAGATAGAATGCCTTGAGGTACATAGGGGTATGGGTTCTCTTCAAAAGGATTTTTGTGTATAACCACACCCAGCTTGTGTACAAGGATATCATCAATGTTTTTCAAGTCTGTTGGGTGCACGTGTATGCATCCATGACTGTTGAAGTAGAAAAATACATAAAAAGGGCAATGAGATTTGAAATGGAACTTGATAAAGTCTTTCTCTATCCAAATAGTCCATCTAAAGGTGAAATCATTGGCAAAATGAAGAAGGGATGGTTTAAATGTCTCTGGAATTTGCAGAGTTTATGTTCCCTACTTTTGCCTCTTTCTCTGAGTTTGGAAGAGATGTAAGAAGACCAAATTTTTTCAAAAATCATTCAAAAGATGGTGAGACAAAGAAGGATAAACATTATGAATTAGTTGATCTTTCATCAAATTCTCATAGCCTCTAAGAAAAAAAATGTTGGGAAGACCACTAAGAGAATTGTTTTTCAGATCTTGGAAGTCAAAAAGTTTTCATAAAATAGTTGTGGCCTAACCTGTTAGGCATAGGCTCAGATGGATTCAATGATCCCACTCTCCAGTGTGCATTAAAATTCCACTCCTGTAGTCACTTAGAAAGGTGTCATCTTTGTTTTTACCAATTGCAGCATTTCCTGTTGGCCAAGCCATTAAAAGTCAAGTTTCTAACTAACTTAAAACTTTCCAATCATTATTAAGTTTTAATGAAACATGAACGAGTCAAGCCTGTGATTTCTAAATGGCAGTTGTCTAAACAATATTGAAAAAGTAGTAAAGATGAAAATTTTTCCTCACTCAATTCTTTAAGGGTTCTAATAGAATTTAAAGCTAATTTAAAGCCTAACTTTCAGAATTTTGGGAGAAGGGGAAACAAGGATTGACATTGAAGTTATTAAGGGACTTCCCATTTGGAAACTTTTCAAAGTAGCAATTACAAATTATGATTAAAAGGACTAAGATATGGGACGTTGAGTGGAAAAATTCCAAGAAAAATCAAACTTTTAAAAGAAGATGTGGGTGGGATTAGGATGATCTGGTGAAAAAATCTCGGAATAATGGAATTTAAGGAGAATGTTAGACCCCTGTGGACCTCAATGCCACACCTCCCCCCACTCCCCCACACATTCTTCACGTAAAAAGATATTTTGGTCACCTTTTAGACCTTTGACTGCTCTTATGACAGGATACCTAATCACAAATGAAATAACATTTTATTTCATCATAATGACTGATAAAAACAGGTTCACACCTGTGAGTATTTTTTTACCCTTTACACCCTTAATCAGTTGCATATTCTCTAAACTGATCTCTATACATTTCCTAAGGTGCTGACAAGGAAAATTTGTTTAAAAATCAAGAGTTTGTTTTGTTGGTGACCATTTCCTTTATTCTTGTGACCTAAATGTTTGATTCAGGGGTGATATTGTACCCTAGTCTAAGGGTTTAAAGGTAATGGGGCTTATAGTTGCCAATAATGAAGGATTTTACAAGAACACTAGTAAATTAATTTGAAATGAAAACAAAAAGGTTCACAATGCTAATGTTGACTCCCATTTATTCTATTAAAATAATTTGAAAATATACTTAAGTACTCACGGGCCAAATGATTTTGGGTCTGGCTCAGGACTGTTGAGGTCAAATGTCTATTATTGTAAAAAATAGATAAATATTCACATAATGTCAGACACTGTACTGTAATACTACATTGACAATGATAAAAAAAAAAAACTGGGATGGAAAATTTAAATAAGGAATTTGTACCACAAGTCCAGTTGGAGTATTTCCATTCCTTGTAAGCTGATTTATATCTTTGCCAGCAGCATTCATGGCACCATGGCAACGTGCGCGAAATGTGTACAAGACCTGCATTTGAGAAAAAATATTTTTGTTTAGTAATTTAATTTGCAGATTTGTATATTATGGTAATTGATTGAAAACTAAAAATTTCACTAAAAATTTCTCTGTCCAACAAATTAAAGACTATTGACAATCAAAAAGTAACTTTATTAAAAAAATTACAATCTGTTGATTCTACATCACCTTGTTATTTGAGTCGTAAAGAGTGGCATTTGTTTCAATTGTCCGATCTTTGTACACAGGAACATGAACCTGTATATATCAATTTGAAAATCAGTATGCCTTTCATCTACTACATCTTAAATGGTTTCCAGATCACTATTACATAATATATCATTTTAAAGAGGACTATACAAACACCCTTGATCTTAAACTTAACTTTAGCCATTCGATCAGGGAAGGGTTTTCCCTTTGAGTGATAAAGTTGATTTTTTGTTCTACTGTTTACCTTAAATTTATACCCTGAAGGCACAGTGTGATCGTCTCGATATCCGTCATACATCAGTTGCTTGAGAACAAGAGAGGCTGTTGTTGCATTTAATACACCATTGCTGAAGTAAAGGCAATTTTTTTACATTCAGTTCTCTGTGGGTTTTATGACTCTGTTCATTAAAACCTTATACATCCAAGACTTGCAAATTGTTTAACTACAAAACGATACAATGGGGTCAGGAGTTGATAAAACCACAGCTTTTTCTCTAGCCTCACATGTTTAATTGATTTACCATCTGCATATCCAAAATATAGTTAGATTTAAGCAGTTATGCATTTAAGTGAAAAAAAAAATTCTTATCTGAATGTAAGCATAACGTGGATTGTTAAAAAAAATTTTTGATATCCATCCCATTACTAGATTTTTGGTTTAGGCCATTTTCTTGTAACTCTGGAAGTCCATTCAGTTTTTTACAAATTTCTTTGAAAAGTCTGACCCCTCTCCCCACCCTACTGTCACTAACCCTAGAATACCCGATTACCTCCCCATAGGGTATCAGGTTAGGGGGCAGGTGTTCACACGAATAACTCACGCAACCATCTGGAGTATGAACCAACTTGATTAGTGCTTCTCTTCCTCTCTTCCAGGATGAGAAGTTAGGGCATTGGCAGTTACCCACAACCATTTTGTTACATTTTCCTCACCAGTATGTGAGTAATTGCATGCATATTTCTTGATTAGCCTATATGCAATGGTCTTATCTATTTCCTTCAAGCCAAGTACAACTGCAGAAAAGCATGGGAAGAAAAAAAGCAGAAGGCAGGGTCAGGAGAGGAAAACTGATTTTTTTTTAGCTTTACTGCCCCTTCCCTCTGAGCATCACCTTTTTCTGCTTGCATATGCTCCAACCCTTGATTGACTGCAGCTTCCCACATACCTACCTCTCCCGATCCCACTTGCTTAAAAGAAAAAGCTGATTCACTAACCATACAGATGTGTATGGATTGCTTATGTTACAATTATACTTGACAAACAGTCAAGCTTATCTACTTGCTGCCAAATGTGGCATGATTCTTCTTTATTGAGCTATACCTTGGCAAGCCATTTCCCTTCTGGTAGCTGGCTACAGCCTCACTGGTTTCCCTATCGTACACACCACTTGTGCTGATGGGCCTCACAAATGGTGATCTCGGCAGTAGATTTTGTAGGATCACAACATCTTTTCCTGTTTTAATTTAAAATAATTGCACAGCCAAGGCAGTTGGTATTATCCTTGGAGCATGAACAGTTAAAGGGGAGGGGAGCAGTTGATAAGGGGCGACCAGAAAACCTTGGCTTCAGAGAAGGTTGCATGTTGTGATAAGCTTTTGAGCCATCTTGTCGGCTTGTTAATCTCCTAGTTTTATGAGTAACTAGTACTTTGGCAAGTCCTAGGTAGTGAAGCTACTTATAAGGTTTGATAAACAGTGCCTAGTAGATTTGCGTCTGGTCTTTCCTTTCCTTAAATGGGTGAAAAATGGTTGAACGAGGTATCGAAACACTAGTATCGCACCAGTTAGGATAATGACTGCGACAAGTCATGCGACAATTGGAGTTCGAAACAAACGAACAAACACACAAACAAACACTCTTAAGACCCGCAGTTTCACATTTCCCGTTACGTTTTGGATATATCGTTCCCTAAAAATAATTCCCCAACTAAATCAAAATTGAACACTTTGCAGTCATTTCGCATTCCGCGCACAAGGTTGATAAAGAGGTGTCCTCACAATTCGACACGGAAGAAAACACTCGTGTCAAAAAAAATATGGACTCAAATTTCGAGAAGTTAAATTTGGTAGAAGGAACAGGGAAGACATTGAAATCCACACAAGAAAAAGAGGAACCAACTTTAGTTTCTATTTTATTTAAAGGTTGAAATTAGGACTCTTCGCTAATTTATGTAAAATTTGTTTTGGTTTCCGATTACCTCTCATAACTTTACGAAATCGCTGGAAATATAGCATCAATCATCTTCTTGCTGAACATAGGCTCGAACGCTTTAGAAAAATGCTGATACTAAAGGTATTCCAAAGGCAGATTCTCCCCTGCATTCTTACTCCCGTAAAGAAATGGCGCAGTGAATAGATCCCTCCGATTCAATTCTCCTGAATTAATTTCTCAAAAAGTTGTTCAATATTATCAGTACTTGCAAGATTACCTTCCATTGGCGGGTTCTCCAGACTTAAAACTCTGTAGAACGGTGCTGGAAAACTGTCAACTTTGTTAGACACCTCAGCTACGCTGAACAGAAATGCAAAAGAGAGAGTAAATACATAGCGGTCCAGCATGACGATATGTGCTTGATCGTAGTTGCGACTACGTCCAGTACTATCCCGGAAATGAATAAGTCGTCACATATTGCACAATGCTTTTGTATGCGGTCCACTGGAACGATCTTGCAACCAATCTGTAACGGTAGAGACGCTCTCTGTCGCGCTTAGACGCGAAGTGTCACGCCATAAAATTTAGTCACGCAAGGTTGTGTTAATTACGCGGGCTCAGTCATCGTTATTTTATAACTTTTGTGAGAGGAAAAATGCTTGCATCCATTTCCAATTGTAACATAGAACTACTAGAAAGAGATTAACGGAATGAAAGATGCAAGCAGAAAAGAGACCTTTTTCAAATACAACATAGAATTGTCTTCTTGCGATTGAAAGCTTCATTCATACTTCAAGATAAGTGTTTTTGTAAGCACAGTTAGAATCAGTCCTTGAACGTATGAATGCTTCAGATAGTGGTCGGTCGTTTATTTCTTTTAAAAAATTAATGCACTACAAGTATGACACAAAGTGATTCTTTGCTAAAACATCACTGACACATCGCTGCATTTGGATATTACGTCCGATCGGAACTTCATTGGTTTTTTTAACTATTGACCACAAGTAATGCGCAAAGTGATTCTTTTCAAAAACACCACCGATACAATGCTGTGTTTGGATATTAGCTCCGAGCAGAATTTATTGACTTCAAGTATTACCCAAAGTCATTATTTGCTGAAACATCACTGACACATTGCTGCCTTTGGATATTAGGTACAATCAAAATACACTTGCACTCAACATTGACATGTTTATTCTGTCATTTTCAGCATTATTTCAAATGTTTATCCAGTTAGGTTTTTAGTAACTAATCAAAGACAGATACATATACATTAATCTGACAAAAACCCACAGACAAATGTGGAAGGGAAGATAGGTAGCTGCTTTTTGGAAAAGAAGTGAAATCCAAAAACTGTTTAAAATAGTCTTTATTTCAAGTTATTTCATTCACCAAAATTAAATTCATCAGTTCTATTAATGTATTGAAATGGCTCTTAATTAGCTCTGATATTGCACACATTTCTGGCTGCCAGATTAAACTTTGTCAGGGTTTTGATTTGCTTGCTAAGGGGACTGTGAATGTTGTTACTGAATATTTGACCATCCACTCTGCTGCTCTACAGAATATGTTCAAGGATTCCTTGTCTGATGAGATGTTCACAATGAGATCTTGGCAGGAAATGCTGAGGGAAGGAAACAAAGCTCTATGAGACATGGTTTAATGCTATTCTGGTTTAAAGAGTCAATGAATGTAACCAGGAAAATAAAATTCAAAGACCCAATGTTTCACACTCTTGTCTAGTGCCTTCATTAGGGGTGATCTAATTGCTGCAACAAGGTCTTTCCATATGCTCGCTAATTAGCTGCCTTTTTTCTGACGAGGTATAAAAAGGGCAGCTAATTAGTGAGTGTATAAAAGGACCTCTTGTGGCAGCGATTAGATCACCCCTTTATGAAGACACTAGGCAGGAGCTTTGAAACGTTAGGTCTATGGATTGTAACTTCTCAGTCACATTCATTAAATCTTTAAACCAGAGTAGCATCAAACTATGTCTGATTGTCCACCTGGTTGCTTTGAAAACTTAAATGCTCTACAAGTTAATAAAAGAATGGGAATCAAGCAATTCTAAAACAATTGTTTTCTAATCACTAATACCAAAATTTTCAAATTATCACTACTCCCCAGAAAATATTGTCAATTTTGAAATTGGACTATCACCCAAAAGGAGTGAACAATATTAACTCTTTAACCCCCAACATTGACCAGCATTGAACTTCTCTTTACAGCATCACCATTGTATAAAACATTACTGTCATGAGAATAAAGGAGATGATCACTGAATAAATTAATCTTGTAAATGATACACAAATTCCTCTGTCAGTACCATGGGAAATACAGTGAGAACAGTAAGGAGAATATCCATTTTGATGTTGAGCTATAAAGGGTTAAGTACCATTATTAAGTATAATTCCTCCTACCTGACTATTCTTTTTCAATAACAAAACTGTTCCATCTTCTGTTTCAAATTCTCCATAATCTTCTAGACATCGCACCTGCATTGCAGAATTCAAAGTATTATTTTTGAACTATGTGATAAGCTTAGACCTCTACAAGAACCTCCTAAGTTATGAAAAATGGGTTGACTTTGGATAAGAATATAAGGCATACCTCTATGTAAAGTGACTTTGGTGGCTTCATGTCCTGTCAGTTAAGAATTCAAAATGAGATGCATCTGTCAGCTTTCTTAAAAATTCTTACACAGATCTCAGAAGAACAAAACAAGTGCCAGGACAGACCTCTGAGAGCCATGTTCTGTTCCTCCCTTAACCCTTTCACTCCCAAGATCTCATTAGTAATTCTCCTTACTGTCTGCCATACAGTTCTTGTGATGTTAGTTCAGAGAATTTGGTATAGGATCAACTAATAATCCCTTGACTGATATTTTTTTTTTGTTCTTATTACTTGTATACTTGATATTGCAAGGAGAAATTCTGTCTTGGTCACTCATGGGAGTTAAAGGGTTAGGACCTTTAGGGGGCTTTTTCCACTCTTTAGAAATCTTATCTTTCACAAATATGACTAGGCAGTAAGCAGGAGCTTATCCAGGTTTCCATAGCATGAAGCAATTAGGAGTATTACTACTCCCCCCTGGACAGGATGCCAGTCCATAGCAAGGTTATCGCCCAGCATTTAATCACGTTTTCCTGACAATTGGCTGCTACCCATCTAAGCTCCTGGGTGGAATGACACTGTGCTCTTTGCATAACAATTTGTCTTAATTCTATCACTCTTAACTGTTGTCTCCTTAACCCTCTTTGTATTCAAATTAGTAATGATGATGACAATGAAAGTTTAGTTATTTTACAAAGGAAGGAAAGTCTCGTTACCTGCGTCAGGTCCAAACCAACTGTCCTCATGTATGTTGCCAGTGATTTATTGTACTTTGTAAACCACTGAACCTATAGTAAATTTTAACAAATTTAATTATAAAGGTAATGACATGATTCTGAGTGCAGTTTGGTATAAATAAGCATAAGTAAATTTTTTAAGACAACAAAATTGTACAAGCCTGCAAGACAAGTGCAATTTGTAGTCTTTGAAAAATTTACAAGCCCTCATTACACCAAATTGTACTCAAAATCGTATTATCTATTAATAATATACATTAAAAAAACAATGCAGAAAGTCAAGACAAATGAAATTTTGAAAGTGTAATTTGCACTTGTGTTACAACTTTGCACACATGTTACACGAGAATACACTTGTTTTTTAGCCAATCAGAAGAGTGCAATTTTTTCACGTACAGTATTAGTTGAAATACAAAAAAGAAGGAATATCAAAACAGTAAAATTCATCCCTGTGTAAATATCTCAATCAGAAGTATCAAAAAATTTTCAAATTGTTTATTTATGTAGTGCTTAAAAAGTTGGCTACAGAAATAAAGTGGAAATACATGCTACATCTATAGCTGTAAGCACCTGTAGTTGCTATTATCATATTAAGTTTACCAACCTCTTGTTCACATAAATTATATTTGATGTCTTCAGGTAAAACAGTTCCAAACTCCCACCTGAGGTCCTTCATCCTCAACATCCTGTTATAGCTAAATAATTACACAAAGAAGTATACAGAGTACAAAAAATTAGCTTAAGCTTTTGCATACATTAATTAGATCTTGATGATATTATTATAATGTTGTTGAAAAGAGTTTCAGAAATCATCAAGCTTTTAATATGAACTCATAAACTTGAGCAGTAAAATCTCTGTTTCAGTTTCAGGGTAATAGACATTTCACTAAAAAAAAAAGCCTCTTTGAAAGGTAATGGTTAGATTTATCTTTATCAAAACCATCCAGTCATGTCATAGATCTCAAAATACCCCATAAGTTACCCCTGGACTTTCCCTGAAAAAAATAGAACAAAATTACCCAGAAACACTGAATCAACTTGATTAATCTGGATAATATTTTTATATCTTAACTTACATGTAAGAAAGAAGACATCTTTTATTTCTCTCTAAACTTGCATGCCTTAGATGAACTCCAGAAAACAAACCAGTTTCTCCCTCAACTGTTAGTGCACTAAACAAAGGAAAAGGAAATGGAAATGAAATAATTAATTAGTGTTAGCAAATTAATGGTACATGTAAACCTGATTAACTAGTTGCTTATTAACCCTTTTACTTGCATGAGTGACCATAAGAGAATTTCTCCTTACACAATCAATAAATGTCAAGGAGATAAGTAATGAGAATAGAGAACTAGATAAAATTGGGGATTATTAGTTGATCCAATGACACATTCTCAGAATTAACATCATAAGAATTATATAGAAGACAGTGTTGCGGAATCAAGAGGACTGTATACTTCTTTGTTTTCTAAACGCGTTTATTTTCTTCCATCACTCCTGACAATCTGAACATACTAACACTCTAACGATCTAATACCAATCTCCCTTACAATTCAGTGCTACTTCGTTTTACAGTTCTAGTTGCGAAATAAAGTAATTTTCCCACAATCACGAGTTCAGTAAATTCCCAATCCCAAAGTACTGTAATATACCCTATTTTAGTTGCAATTTCACAATTACACGTTTCTTTCCCTTATTTAGTTCACTGTACGAATGCAAATCAGTGTTGAACTTTGTTTACAACGTTGTGAAATATCATGTCACGAAATCTTCCTATTCGCGTTACAATCAGTCTAGTATTTTGTTACATTGTGTGACAATTTATAACATTAATCATTAATTTTAAAGAAACTGTTCTCAACAGACAGTAAGGAGAATTACTAATGAGATCTTGGGAGCATAAAGGGTTGCATCATAGTCTACATTACTCTGAATTAATGAAAATATAGCCAACTATACTTCATACAAATTGAAAGAAAAGGTAATAATAACAATCAAAGAGAGTTGTTCCTCAAAACAACATTATGTAATCTGAGAACAATTAATCATCCTGAATTCCCATTTTCAAAAATCAGGTTCTTCTGATTAGATTGATTCATTAACAATTAGTAACAATCTCATATGCGTCAAATTTAGAATTTTCCAAGTTTGTGATTCTTTACATGGGGTAGTTTTCAGAGGATTGTTCAGGTATTACTCACACTTCTCTTTGGTTCTGCTCAAACAAAATCTTCATTTCCTCAAGGACCTGCCTAATCAAATCCTCCTTTAATACACAAAATAAAATAAAATCAATCATTTCAATTTCATGAAATTATTTGTATAAAGAAAAGAAAGAGAGCACCAAAAAATTTATCGTGACGAGCTAGGTAAGGTGGACCAAAATATAGTTTAATTATCAAAAACGATCTTAAAGATTAAAATTTGTTGGAAGAAATGAGAATGAGGTATTGAGTGAGAGGAAAAATCGATACAGATATCGGCAGTTTAAAGATACTTACCATCTCGATAAGATTCTCACAGCCAGTCACTCAAAATGATTTGCATGTTGATATGACTGTACTGTTTGAGAGAATGTTGTAACATTTCACTGCTGCACATCGACTTGTCTCACATCATTCAAACATAGCATGTAAAAATTCCGAGCGAAAAACACAACGCTTAGCTTTAAAGCTACTTTAAAGTCTCAATGAATGGTAGGAAGTTCTGTGCGTATTTTTTCCCGCCAATTTACGAATAAACAGAAGTAAACAATATCTCACGTTGTAAGGTGGTACAGTCCCTTCCATGGCTCTTTTAAGTTCCTTCACAAGCTCAAGTGCTTTATCACCAAACATCTTGCCAAAGATCTCTCCAAAATGTCCAAAATTCCACTGAATAAACCTTTGTGATCCAAATCTTTAACTCATGTCCGCCGTTCTGTCCGCCATATTGTCTCCGTACCAGTCCCCCGTCGGACATCTGATCTAAACCAATCATGGACCTTGAAAAGGAACTGCTCTTGGGTGGAATATCCCATAACTATTAATTGCTACATTACAAACTTGATCGAGAGCTACACAACTTTAGCCATTACTTGGTGAGTGTTTGTCGACTGTACGCAAATATTAAGCTTATAAAATCATTGAATAAGTCATTTGACTTCATTTTTTAACGTAGCTTTTGCCTTTTTCAGCTTTCCGGAGGCAACACTTCAAGATCAGATGTAAATCGAGCCGTTTCTATGCTGAAGACGACTCAAGCTCTCTGAACCACGGACTTACAAGTTAAAACATAGGTGAGCTTACTATAAGCTTTAATTCAAGCTTAAATGCGTGTCTTTTACCATTGTTAACGTGTATTTCCCGCCTAGATTATATGAAAGCGCGCAGATGGCTTAACTTCTGCTTACTTCCATCGTTGGATATGGAACCCTCTAATGTTTTATTTGACGTTTTCCTTGTTGTCTTGTGAAATTTCCACGGTATAGAAAGGTAATTTAGTGTTAACAACTGAGTTTAAAACGTAAATTGGCCATCGTAAAAATGACAAAATTCCTCAATTTGATTAACACAATAACCTTGACATGTCAAGTTACGGTAATTCTTAGTGTTAAACATGAGAAAATCGTGTAAAAATCAAGTGTGCTTCAAAAGACTAAAGTTCATTAGCAAATTATGCAAGTGTCTGGCAACAATGTCAAGACCTTTCTAGCCACACTTTCAAATTTTAAATATGGCATCAAAATCTCTCAAAGAAAATAGCAACAACCCAAATAGTTTATTCACATCATAACCAAGCTCATTTTACAGTAGAAAATAAAACTAAATGAAATTTTAAGTGATAAAAAATTAGAAAACAAACAAACAGCAGTTTATCTATATATTAATTAGAGTGTCCCTGATCAGACATCTTCTTATAACAGAAATAACTGTCAATGTCTTTATGACAGTCACATCATGGCTGTTCTTGTTGTGTTTTCTGGTCTTTTCCATTTTTACTGGATCTAGGGTAAGCTTGTTCCCAATCCCTCTTCCATTGCATCTATCTAATCCTTATGGTAAAAAGCAGTGCTGCACAAGATGTACTCCAAATTTTTTGTGGATGCAGACTGCAACCACAGTGAAAGGAGGATGTCCTCTTTTGTGTGTTCCCCTGATGGCATGTATGTAGTAGATGCATCCAAAGATGTACTGGATGGTGGAGCTGGTTGTTGAACCTCATGGGTTTTGACAAGGGGGCTAGCTGATTCTGTGGGACCACAAATTACTGTAATTAGGGTGTCAAACCATTCCATCATTTCTTCCTGTTGCTATGCAACACAACTACACTTATTTTTGGTGGCAGTGGTGTTTGTGACAAAGGTGCTGAAGATGGTGCCCTAGGTGGTGTTGATGGCACAGAAGACAATAGTGATAGAGTCAATTGTGGAAAAGACATTGGTGGTGTTGGTGTTGGTTAAAGTAGCGGCAAAATGGGTTTTAGAGGAGCATAATGAGAAAGACTTTATTCATTTAAGGCCAAATGTCCGCTTCCATTAAGGGCCTTAGGGTCATCCCCATTAATAAGAAAAGGTATGTTGTTAATGAAATATACATACATACAAATATATGTAAAGATTAATGTTAAATAAGAAATTACATGCTCAATTTTGTTTCTTTGACCCTTCCTACAATATGCAATCAAGGCACAACCTCCTTGTTCCTTTGCTAATTAGCATCCTCTTGCAATTTTATGTAGAAATCAAACCACAAAACTTTTTTTTATCTACATATGCTTTTAACAACTTACAATACAAAAATAAAAAAAAAACTAAATGATGCTAATAAAAATAGTTTAAAATTTGGTATGGAATAGATTAATCACAGGACATAAGTTATATTAAACCAACTTTGTACTTGCACTACTATTAATACATTACTTACACCAGAGTAAATAAAGTGCAATTGGGATTGCAATGCTCTCTGTCTATTAGGTTTGTGGCTATTTGTTTTTATTTGTAAGAAAACAATGATTATAATTATATTTTTAATCACCATCTTACTTACTCATTGTCATACGGACACTTATTTACACCTCTAAATTACAGTAATAAACAAATCACATATCCTCGATGGAGTAAGGGGGCAATTGAAGTGCAATAAGGAACCGAAATAAACTAGTAGAGTTTTAATAGAACAGTTAACAAATGTGTAAGCTGATAAATAAAAAAAAGTTGCTTAGGGTCAGCAAAGTTTATTCTACCATGACAAATTTGGGAGGTCTTGCCCTATTAGCCATACCTGGTAAATTGAAATATTAACTGTTCAAGTCTGATGCCTCATCTTCAGATTTTGAACTGCAATTCTATAACATTTGATGATATCAAATAAATAACAGCCCATAAGTATGTACAAAAATTATATAGATAGTCAAAAGAAGTGCAGAAACCTCTCTAAAACAAGTTACTTGAATATGAGATAACTCTTAAAACTACAAAAGGCCTTCTCTCTTTGAAAGGGCGATGGGTTGATTTACAATTTGGTTAAAATTCTTTTTTCAATACTTTGCCAGAAGTGTGAAACTACTTGAACTGGTTCGCTTCAATGGAAAAAAAAATTACTGAAAACATGACCAATGAAAAAAAAAAAAATGATAATCTATCAAGCAACCTGTAGTGTATACACTCATCTGCTCCACTTAAAATCTCCAAGGACACTTCAAGTGATCAAAACATACAGAAGCATACAGAGAATTTAGGATCAAAAGTAACCAATCATCGAATAAAAAAGTTTCAGTGTGAAAGTTACACGTTAAATAGTCAAGAAAAGGCCCGACCCTATGTAGACAATAATGTCAAGATCTTTCTAGCCATGCTTTCAAAGTTTGAATATGGCATCAAAATATCTCAGAGAAGATAGCATCAACCCAAATAGTTTATTCCCATCATAACCTAGCTCATTTTAAAGTAGAAAATCAAACTAAATGACATTTTTAACTATGAAAAAATTAGAACACAAACAAACAGCAGTTTATCTATATACTAATTAGGGTGTCCCTGATCCTACATATTCCTATGACAGAGATAACTGTCAATGGCTTTATGACAGTCACATCACAGCTGTTCCGGTTGTGTTAGCTACAAAGGAAATGCTTTAAATATTATTTTCTGGTCTTTTCCATTCCATAAGTTATATTAAACCAACTTTTGTACTTGCACTACTATTAATACATTACTTACATCGGAGTAGTAAAGTGCAATTATGATTGCAATGCTCTCTGTCTATTAGGTTTGTGGCTATTTGTATTTATTTGTAAAAAAAGAAAACGGTGATTTTAATTAGATTTTTAGTCACCATCTTACTTACTCATTGTGGTACGTACACTTACTTACACTTCTAAATTACAGTAATAAACAAATCACATATCCTCAATGGAGTAAGGGGGCAATTGAAGCACAATAAGGAACAGAAATAAACTGGAAGAGTTTTAATAGAATAGTTAACAAATATGTAAGTTGATAAATCAAAAATGTCAAATTTGGCACAATTGCTACACAGATCAAAAGCATTTCTAACATGAGGAAAGTTACATTTTGATTCTAAAGTCGTGAAAAAATCCTTAAAACCGGGAATGAAAATGCTAACAAAATTAGAGGTCTTAAGTGTTATGTTTTCTTTTAGCTGCAACAAGTGGAAATCTTTGTGAGGTTTCCTTGCCTCCTCTTCCCATTCCCTTCGCCTGTGGGATTAATTTTTTTTTTAACTCTCATTTCTTTTCTGTTATTTAATTTTTGTGTGTGCTGAGATCCACTGATTTCATAAATCTTGCCTTTGAAAAGGTTGACAGGTGTTCTTAAGGTGGCCAAGAACGTACCTATGGAAATATGCTACATTAATTTCATGTCACTTGATATTCTATGGTTGGTTCAAGACATGGTGTTGAATTTTTGTTCAGTGTGAAAAGGAAGTGAAAAATAGTTTAATTTGAGATAGGGTAAGGATTTTGTTTAGGGTGCTCCATACCCTCACCTTGAGGCAGTGTCTCTGATAAATTGATACATTTTGATTGATATTGAAAAGGCCACACCCCTTTTCCAAGGCTTCCAAGTTGTGTCTAACAATTAGGGCTAAATATATCACCACACAAAGTTGAAATTGGTTTACAAAGTTTATTCTACAATGACAAATGTGGTGGGTTTCACTCTCCTAACAACAAATGGTAAATTAAATTATCAACTGTTCAAGTCTGATGCCTCTTCTTCAGATTTTGAACTGCAAAAAAACCTACAAAAGGCCTTCTGACTTTTAAAGCTTGATGAGATGATTTAAGGTTTCAGTTCTTTTTTCGATATTTTTCCAGAAGTGTGAAACTACTTGAACTGGTTCGCTTCAATGGAAAAAAAAATTACTGAAAAGATGACCAATGAAAAAAGAAAACCTGATAATCCATCAAGCAACCTGTAGTCTATACACTCATCTGCTCCACTTAAAATCTCCAACGACACCTCAAGCAATCAAAACATACAGAAGCATGCAGAGAATTTAGGATCGAAAGCAACCAATCATTGAATAAAAAAGTTTCAGTATGAAAGTTAGACATTAAATAGTGAAGAAAAGGCCTGACCTTATGTAGACAATAATGTTAAGATCTTTCTCGCCACGCTTTCAAAGTTTGAATATGGCATCAAAATATCTCAAAGAAAATAGTGACGAGCCAAATAGTTTATTCACATCATAACCTAGCTCATTTTATCGTAGAAAATCAAACTAAATGAAATTTTTAATGATTAAAAAATTAGAACACAAACACAGAGCAGTTTATATATTTTCTAATTAAGGTGTATTTGTTCAGGCATCTTCCTATTACAGAGGTAACT